TAAATGTTGGCATTGTACATTTTTGCAAACCACAGATACGTTACATTTGTATGTGCATTTGTAAAAACAACTGCTTGTGTTTCACTATCACGGCAGGAAAATAACTATGTCTTTGTAAAAGAAAACAGCCTCTTTTAGTGGCACTGTCCCAGCAGAAAATGCAATAATGTCTTGTTAAAAAAACAACGGCTTTGCATGGCACCACCTTGATAGGAAATGCAGTGGTGTCATAGGTAAAAAAAAACCATTCTCTTTTGAGGTACTATACTGGCAGAAAGTGCAATATGTCTTTTGTGGCATTATCTGGGCAGGAAATGCAGTGTTGTCATAGTAAAAAACAACGAGTTTTGTTGTTTGTTGGTTTTCAACAGTGGTCTGCAGCTTGGCAGGCATCTCCCCTAGGTGTGACCTGATCCACCATCCCCTCGACCTCCAGATTATAAAGTCAGCTCATATAGTACATCACTTAAGTAACTGTGGTTTGCAGAAACTTATATTGCCAACATTTTCTTGTGGTGACTGGGCTGGTTAACAGCAGCTTTGACTAAATCCACCCCTTCACACAGACGTCTGTAAGGCTCTGTCACTACCTCTGCTGTCGCCCCATTCTGTGTGTGTACATTTTAGACGAAACGTTGAGGCTGAATAGCAGCACAACATTCCTGCCTTGAACGGGCTGTGTAAAATTGGCTTTTGACAGAAGGCTGCTTTCATGAACGATCACCTTATTCAAACCTCCAGAGAATTATCAGCTGAATCTGCAGCTCGTCTCGGCTTCATGGAGCTTTATAGTGAGTTTCAGCTCATTGTTTACCTGTGTGGCTCACGCTTTACTGTCCTGGTTCACTCTCACTGCTCTCAAAGCGTCGTTTTCAGAAATAAAGTTGAAAAAAGCCGTCGTACACTTCTAACAACAGACAGATAGTTAGAGACGAGCTTGTGAACATGGCAAAGCATTAAGCAGCTAAATAAATAGATATTTCCCCCCAGGAGTTGGTGGAGACCAAAAAAAAGAGCTTAAAAAGAATTAATGTTTGACATTCATTAGGGTAGACACGGACACAAAGACTCCTGATGAATCATCATGTTGCTCTGTAACTGCTTGATGTGAAAATAAGCAACTGTTTGCTTCAACAAATCAACTTAGAAGATGTTAATGTTGTTTCCACTGACCCCAAGTGGCCAAAAAAATCTGTTATCGCAGATTTAAACACACTTCTTCCCTGACAGAAATGATGCATAATTGTTGCTGTTATGGACATGTTGACAGTCACGTTTCATTGAGATTAAATAGTGTTTTGTCATCGTAGTACTTGGCAGGAAATGTACACATTTTGTTTACTTATTTCTGTTCTTCTCCCTGACTGCAGGGTCAGCAGGCCTGTCAGATCAGGTAGAGGTTAACTGTTGTTACTCTGCTTCATTTGTTTTTCTGTCTGCATATATTTTACTGATGCAAATGTATAAATGCAGAGTAAGAGACACCTGATGAGTGTTGAGTGAGCATACATCACATTAAATTGACAGTCGCCTCACACTTCTTGCCCATCGTATATCTGCTGCTGCTGCAACATGACTGACTGAGAGAGGGAGAGACACTGAAGACAGAGACAGAGAGAGGACGAGAGTGAGTCAGTGATATGAAACAGGAAAACAAAGATGAGAGACACACAAAGAGAGAGACAGAAAGATGTGAAATAGAGAAAAAGAGACTTTCCTTACTCTGAGGTGGTTTTGGCCTGTCAGATACATTCAGTGTCTGATGCAACACTGAGTAACCAAGATGCTGTGTGTGTGTGTGTGTGTGTGTGTGTGTGTGTGTGTGTGTGTGTGTGTGTGTGAGAGAGAGAATCTGAACAACTCACATGTGAAAGTGACCCAGAGTGTGAAATATCATGGCCTCCTAACACACACACACACACACAAAAATGCACACAGACACACACGCTGCCATCACTTTGCCTCTTCCAACCCCCCATTTGTTGCCCTCACTAAACAACCTGCCAGGCCTGTTGCTAGGTTACCATGAAGAGATGGTGTGTGTGTGTGTGTGTGTGTGTGTGTGTGTGTGTGTGTGTGTGATGGGGTGGTGGGCTGGTGGTGATGAGGTGGGTACATTTCCACTTTCTCGCTTTAACAGCTGTGATACTGACTTTAGTTGGAGGAGGAGAAGTTAGACTCACTGTTACAGTTTCATCCTCCCCTTCAGTGGTTCCCAGCCTAGGGGTCGAGACCCTTCTAAGGGGCCACGCGTTTAATCTGAGGGGCTGCAAGTTAGGAAAGAAGATTTTTTTTTCTCTCACTTTTTTCATGTAAAATTCTGGATCTTTTTATTGTTTGACACCTCTAAAATCCTTCAGTTAAAACAATCTGCAAGAGGAATTCACTCTTTGGTGGAGCTGAGAGCATATTGAGAGTACATTTCAAGGGGTCATAAGGCAAAAAGGTTGGGAAACACTGCTCCAGTGCTAGAAGACAGTCAGCCTCCCTGTTGACTAATGCTGTGTTGAATGCAAGGCTTTGAGAAAAGATGATTATGATAAAAGTCCTCCTACCTATGATGACATAATTGAGAGGAAAGGCCGTGTAATAAAAGGGAAAATAACTCATATTTAAGGAAAAAGACCTTATAAATAAGAAAAAGACCACAAAAGGATAAATATCTAATAATTATGGAAAGTATCTCATAAGGAAATTGACCTTATAATTAGGAGAACATACCTTATAATTAAGAGAAAAGACCTAATAATATTGTAAAAGATCTTATAGTTATGAGAAAAGTCATCATATTTACAAAACCAGACATGGTAATTAGAAAAAAAGGTTTTAAACTCAGGATACAAGATGTCATAATTGAATGGAAAGGCCTCATGATTAAGAAAAAAAACCTCATCAAGGAGAAGGTTCTCATAATTAAGAGAAATTAGCTCACAATTTAAGGGAAAATGTCCCATAATTAACAGGAAAAACCTAATATTAAAGATAAAGATGTTATAATTATCAAAAAATTCCTCATACTCATGAAACAAGATATCATAATTTAGACTAAAAACCTCATAAGGGAAAATATTGTATAATTATGAGAAAATACCCTACAATTAAGAGAAAAAACCTCATAACTGATTTAAAAGATCTTGTGTTTAATGGAAAAGTGTTCATAATTACGAGAAAATGCCTCATTAATGGAAAAGACCTTGTGATTAAAGGGAAAATCTTACAATCAAGGGAAAAGTTCTTATAATTTTAAGAAAAAACCTTATGATTAAGGGGAAAATTATCATAATTAAGGTAAAGGTCTCACAATTAAAAGAAAAAATGTCATGATTAAGGGCAAAGATCTTGTTAATAAGGGAAAGATCTCAGTTTTGAGAAAATAACTCATAATTAAGGCAGAACATGAAGAGGAGGCTCTCATAATTACAAAAAATACAAGAGACCTTTCTTGTTATTATGAGACAGTAAGTCATAATTACGAGATACAGCAGTCATAATATAATTGATTTATATCTTTAGAAAGCACAACCATAAATTTACTTGAATCTTTCCTTTAATGTTAGGAAACTTCCTTAAAGGGAGGATATCTTCATCTGTTGTTACTTTATGAAACCATATTAAACAAAACCATAAATCTGACTGTTTATTTTGAGTAAAATGAAGGAAATGAGGTCATTTCTTTAGGAGTCGATGCAGCTATGAACTGTCATCTCTGAATTTCTTACTGGCACACGTCACCACAGCGAGTAGCTCATGGAAATACTGCAGGAATGTGGACTGAATAAGAAATCCAGAGATCTCAATTTGGAGTGTTTCAGGTCCAGCGTGGCAAAATAATTTCCTGTCACTGCAGAAATACTTTTTCCATGAGCTTCAGGACTGACTCACCTTACAGTAAAAACCACAGAGTTGTTTGTCCCACAGAAACTGTGATTTGGCTGTAAATCAACACAGATGGGAAACCATTATCTAATTACTTCCATAACTGGAACTATGCAACAACAATCCTATCTTTTAACCTGCTTCAACAATTTAAATTTAAATAACACAACCAGTCACATGTACATGGTTGATTGATTGATAAGCTGATAAGATTTGTCATGTCAGGTCATCATGTGGCAGAGAGGTGACCCCTAATGTCTGATGTAGGTGACGCTGTTTTGTGTCAGGAGTGCACCTATGAGGTGGTAACCTACAGAGGAACTATTTACTATTAAACAATTCTTTATATGCTTAGTGGGAACGTCTTAAAATGTAAAACCTCAGTACCTCAAGACAAAAAAACAGAAGAAGCAATAGCAGAAAGATGTGATTTAAAACATTTAAGAACTTATAAAACTTAAAACACAAAATTATTCCAGATGGAAAAACAGGGACATACATGCACACACACCTGATTCTCCAGGCACATAGACACACACGGATCCCATCCTCTACAGGTGATTAAATGTCGTCCTCATCTGTCATATTTAACTCCAGCAGCTGACTAAAATACAGCTTTTATTTCATGACACAGGGATTATTCTTTGGGGAGAAATCAACACTTCTTCATTTAGTATCTCAGGAAATTAATGTTGGTATTGGTATTTAATAAACTGGTTAAAAGTCACCTGGCAGCCTTTGAATATTAGCTTTTTTTGTGCTATTTGTCAGCGCTCTATGCAAGAGAAGTGTCACATTGTCATTGGTGTTAAAGTACAAAATGCATTATGACTGGGGCGTCGGTGGCTTAGTGGTAGAGCAGGCGCCCCATGTACAAGGCTGTTGCCGCAGCGGCCCGGGTTCGAGTCCAGTCTGTGGCCCTTTGCTGCATGTCACTCCCTCTCTCTCTCCCCCCTTCACACTTAACTGTCCTGTCCAATAAAGGCAAAAAATGCCCAAAAAATATCTTTAAAAAAAAAAAAAATGCATTATGACTGGCACATCAAGCGATGGATTTTTTGTTGTTTTTTTTTTAAATGCTAATCAGCATCTTTATTATGTCCTTTTTCTTCTGTGTCTTTCAGGGTCGCCATGTCAAAACAGGCCAGCTTGCTGCCATCAAGGTCATGGACGTCACAGGAGTAAGTGACACACAAACACAGTCTTCCTAAATCTGTACATGCCCACACACACCTACAGTGCTTATTTTGTCCTCATTAGACTCTGCTGGAGGGGTTGTTCTTCTTTAATCTGATTTCCTCCAGGATTTTAATGTTTTAGTAAACAGAGTAAAATCCCAGTAAACAGAGATTTGTATTAGCATTGTGTTGTGTGTTTGAGCGTGCGTGCGTGTGTGTGTGTGTGTGTGTTTTAGGATGAGGAGGAGGAGATTAAAGCAGAGATCAATATGTTAAAGAAGTATAGCCACCACAGAAACATTGCCACCTACTATGGAGCCTTCATCAAGAAGAACCCTCCAGGAATGGATGACCAGCTTTGGGTACGTGCATTTTATTTGTCTGGAAGTTAAAGAGCTAGAACACACCTTCTTCACATATTCTAAATATGGCTTTTGATCGCAAACTTTTGATGTACAAATCATTCCTATTATTCTATCAATTTTGTAATACCTTATTTTGAGAATAAAACTCACAACACAAAGTTGTTTCTGCTTTTATATTCCTTAATATAGGAAATTAGCAAGTTTGAGGTTATGATTTTTTAGTTGGTTAAGGTTTTTTTTTTTTTTTTTTAATTTGTGCTTTAAATCAGTACTAAGCAGTTTCCTTAATCCTAAAAATACTCATGTTAAGTAAATGCCTGAACCTTAGATCAAAGAGTAACATATTTTTTATTTTGAAATTTTATTCATTGGTTCTTTTTTTAATGTTTTTATTTCAATGCATTTTTTTATTTTTAAAAGTTGTTCTATTATGTTCTTGTTATTACTGTCCATTTTTAAAATTTAAAACAGATAAGACTGAGGAGATGGTCCACAGATACTGGTTTCACCTTTTAAGCAACCAAAAATAGGACATACATTTCAGTAAAGGTTCATTCATAACAAACTAGATCAATAGTTTAGATATACCCAAAAATCTTGTGCTGATCTCCAGTGGTTGCTTCGGTGTGTACTTCGGCACCTCGTTACATCACTTTTGGGTGTGGTTACAGGTGCAACAGCAAATTTCTGCCCCCATCAGTGAAGTTTCAGTCATGATTTAGTCTGAACAACAGTACAAAACACAAAGATATTTATTTTATAATGGCATAAAGCAGAGAAAAGCAGTAGCTCGTCACATTTGACGAGCACCATTCAGTATTAATGCCTGAGATTTGTCTTAACATATAACTTGATAGCTCAATAATGTACGATTTTTGATTAATCGATTTGGCACAGTTATTGTGATAGATGTCAAGTTAAGTATTAAAACCCTGCAGGTTGATTTTCAGAGCATATTGGAAAGAACAGAAACTGCTTGGAAAGTTAAGAAACAATCTAAAAACTAATGGTATAATTTAGAAAATCAATAACAGTGTTTGTGTACGTCTGTAGCTGGTGATGGAGTTCTGTGGGGCCGGCTCGATTACGGATCTGATCAAAAACACCAAAGGGAACTCTCTAAAGGAGGAGTGGATCGCCTATGTCTGCAGAGAGATCCTCAGGGTGAGAATCAAAACTGAAATTAAAATCACTACTAGATATGTGCCAACATTAAAAAAAATCTGTTGTAGGTCTTATCCCAAAAAAAGTAAATGTTTGGTGACACTCTTTTGGTAGAAAACAATTGCAAGCATAAGAGGACTCCAGACGGCTCCCTGAGAAACACCTTGTTTTAATAGTCTGTGTTATTTCAGGTATTTTAACACAAGGGGCTCTCAATACAAGATATCTCTTGTAGATTTTATAAAAAGCCTGTTATGAGGACATTTGTGTTCTTCAAAGGAACCATAGAGGAATGTTGAGGAGCTGTTGTATGGCTTTTTATCAGAAGCCATATTGGTTCCTCGAAGAAATTCATAATGACCTGTAGGGTTAATCACCATCATTTTTACTGTAGCACTGTAGATCTCATCCATGTTTAACAAACTGGAACTATTTTGGTCTGAAACAAATGCAAACACAAGGGAACCTCAGATGGTTCCCAGAGGAACAGCATATTTACGTGTTTACAGTATGTTCTGCTGATGAAAGGAGGGTAGCAAACTGTTTTCATATCATTATATCATAGTGAGGTCTGTATAATAGGAAGTAATAGGCATTTTCTTCTTCTCTGCCTCCAGGGTCTGACCCACCTCCACCAGCACAAGGTCATCCACAGAGATATCAAGGGCCAGAATGTGTTGCTGACAGAGAACGCAGAGGTCAAACTAGGTTAGAGGGCACGTGCGCATGCACATGCACACACACACATGCACGCACGCACACACACACACACACAGTGGATCTTGCATACTGTACAAGCAGCTAAAAATACTGTTTGGCAATTATAAACACTTTTTTAAAATAAGTGATACATTACCATATGATTATATTGCTTACACTTTAAGCCTTTAATTCTGTGTGTGTGTTTGCAGTGGACTTTGGTGTGAGCGCCCAGCTAGATCGTACAGTGGGACGGAGGAACACATTTATTGGGACACCGTACTGGATGGCCCCGGAGGTCATCGCCTGCGATGAGAACCCTGATGCCACATATGACTTTAAGGTATACCTGATGAACACAATAATGCATCACTAACTCTAATCCAATAATGTAATATATATTATTCTGAAGTGGGCCATTCTGCATAAAGAATACTTTTACCTTTGGTACTTAGGTATATTTTGATGCTTTTACTTGAGTAACAGTTTGAATGCAGGACAGAGCATTTCTTCTATATTATATCTATGCCAAGATATCCCTCTAAATCCTAAACACTGGACCCTAATATTACATTGTGCATATTAAAAAAATGTAGGTTATTGCCTTCAGGTATTTCTGTCCTCCTTTAGTCACACACTCTGCTACAGCTGGCCTTACTGGTAAAGCACAATAGTGAATTTTCAGGCAACTTGCAATACAATACACAGTCATTTCACATGCCATAGAAAAAGAAAAAAAATCTAAAATTGTGCACTTATTTGTTAAAAGAAAATAATGTCAGAAGTTTCGATCAGCAGTGAAAACAATAAGCATCTGAGAAAAATACTGTTTTTATGCTTCCATGCTGGCGATAGCCATAACCGGAGCCATTATATTTTTGGATTGTCTGTCCATCTGTCTGTCCCATTCTCGCGATATCTTGAGATGGCCTTGGGGAAATGGCGTAAAATTTGGCACAAATCTCTACTTGAATTCAAGGAAGAATTGATAAGGTTTTGGGGGTCACTGTGACCTTTGACCTATGGCCCTATGACACTCTGAGAGAATTTCTTCTGATTTGAATTTGGTGGTCAGAGGTCAAAGTTCAAGGTCACTGTGACCTCATCCGTCGCATTCTCATGAACGCAATTCTCATCTAAAGAACACCTAAAGAGAACGTCTTCAAATTTGGCACAACTGTTTATTTGGATTCAAGGATGGACTGATTAGACTTTGGCGGTCAAAGGTCACTGTGACCTTGCATCAGTTTCCGTCTCATTTTTTGAAAGCCCTTAGGGAATTTCCTCAAATATGACACAAACATCCACTTGGACTAAAGTTTGAACTGATCAGAATTTGGTTGTCAAATGTCAAAGGTCAAGGTCAATGTCACCTTGAAAAATGTGTTTTCAACCATGATTCTGGAATTCATATCCTAATTATGACAAAATTTTACACAAATGTCTAGTAGGATAAAATAAAGTATTAATTAGGGATGTCCCGATCTGATATTCGGATCGGTATCGGCCGCCGATATTAGCAAAAAACGTGCATCGGCATCGGATCGGACTGCATGAAAAATGCTGATCCAAGAACTCCGATCCAGTTTTTCACAGACTCCGATTCAGGTTTTCCGGCCAGCCCAGTGCTCCGCGATTCAAGCAGTCCATTCCAGTGATCCGCTCCAGCACTTACTATCAATCCACCAGGCCAGCATGCAGACGGCAGACACACACGGAGGGAAGGGTAGGAAGAGTAGCCGTCAACTTAGTTAACTGACTATTTGTTTTCTGCTCCGGTTTTTTTGAGAGTGATACTTTTATTTGGTTTACACTCTTACTGTTTAAGTAAAGAGCACTGATGGCATTGTTTTGAGCACAATTAGTGAAACTGGAGCCATGGATAGACTATTGCTTGTTTAAACAGTTGTACAATATTGTGTGCCTGTGCACCAGGCTGGCACTGACACTTGTTAAATGTCAACAATGTCTTGTGGTGTTAATCTTTTTTTTTTATTTATTAGGGGGCCAAAGCACAAGTGTGTGGAGTCTTGCTGCTATTTTAATTTCAATATTAGACATTTTAAAGATTTCTTGTGTTGATTTATTTTCTATTTATTAAGGGGCCAAAGCAGCCGAAGCAAACCAGCTATATTTTTTATTTAATGTTAATGTTCAAGTTTAAAGTTTGTTTATTTAACCCTGTACACAATAAACAGGTCAGTTTCTCATACCAACTGTTGTGGATCATTCTAACTAACCCGATTAAGTAGTTGTTCTTGTTAGAGTGATATTGCTTGATCAAACCTTTTCTAACATGACTGACAACAAAATAAGTGAATATGTATAATACGTGCTTGGATCGGATCGGTATCGGCCAAAACTCAAGGCTGTAATATCGGTATCGGATCGGAAGTGAAAAAGCTAGATCGGGACATCCCTAGTATTAATGACATTTTATAACCAAGAGGTCAAAGGTCACCTTCACTGTGATGTCATAATATTCTGTAAAAACACTTTTCTTGCCATTACTCAGCGTCAAATCTCAGGAACAGAAGGGGAGACATTTGGTCAGATACTGAATTAGTGACACTAATCTTGAAACTGTGCTGATTGTATAGATCTTCTGTGCTGCAGGGGGGAAGATGTGTGTGAAGCATCTATGTTTTCACAGACTTTGATGTAAACTGTAAGAGAAACTTGACAGGTTGGCGGAAGCATACAACCGCGGGGCGGTAATTCTAGTTCTTTGTAGAACTCACAAAGATCAATTCCTCATCACTCACAGAGTCAAAATGCTTGTGCTGTAGCTGTGAACACCAGCTGACCTTTCAAATTCTCTGCAAAGGTTCAATGATTTAATCTCTGATCACAAACCACTAACCACAGACTCATATAAAGTCCCCTCACAGAAACAGTCCTGCAGTCATCACTGTATGGACAATGTGCAGTAATAGTGGCTGGAGGAATACCTGTGGCAAACCTGCGGAGGATGAGCACTGTTCTGTTAAGACACCATTAACTCCAACCCTCTGGGGCTCTCTGTGTCAAGAAACCCTCACTTCATCTTTCAGTATTAACATCGCCTTAAAATAGCAGTTTGTTGGCTAAAATATGCAAATACATTCTATAAAAAAGAGGCAGATGGATAACATTGATAAAATATTAGCGTGGAGCCGGAGATCTACGATAGCAGTGATAATGTCTGAGCCTGTATTTTTATCATTTAACAAGAACACTGACCAGTGGACCTAAAATATGATGTGTGAAGTCAGTAACAGGTTTTTAGGATGTGAAAGTTTTCAATTTTCTCTCTCTCCCTCTCTCTGCAGAGTGATCTGTGGTCGCTCGGTATCACAGCTATAGAGATGGCAGAGGGAGCACCACGTAAGTGTGAAACATCGGACTCATTAAACTCTTTCGAGTAGACACAGAGTACAGTTTGTCTCGTAGTTAAAAGTCTAAATCTGTTTCTTTTTTCCCTTCTCGTACTCCTCTCATTTCTTGCACTTATGTTTCCTCTCCTTTTCCTTCTTCTTGTCTCGTCTCCTATCCATTTGTTTCCTCTCCTCCATTTCTTCTCTTCTCTCCTCTTTCCCCCCTTTTTTTGTCTTTTACTTTCCTCTTTTATCATCTTATCTCCTGTCCTTTTGTTTCCTTCCCCATGTCCTGTTACCTTTCTTCTTTTGCCCTTTTCTTTCTTCTTGTCTCATCTCCTCCTTCTATCCTTTTGTTTCATTTCCTCCTTTTTTTCTCTTTTTCTCTCATCCCTTTTCCTTTTTCTTTTCATGTCCTCCTTTATCATCTCATCTCCCGTCCTTGTGTTTCCTTCCCTCTTGCCCTGTTGTCTCACCTCTTCTTATCTTTCCTTGGCTCTTTTTCTCTCACCCTTTGCCCTTTTTTTTGCTTTCCTCCCTTGTTGCCTCCTATCTTTTTCTTTCCTTTACCATTTCCTCTCACCTCATGCTTATTTATTTCCTTTCCTCTTCTGTCTCCTATCCTCTTTTGTCCTTTCCTATCCTATTCTTTTCTCCCATCCTCATCTCATCTCTTGCCTGTTTGATTTCTTTCCTTACTCCTCGTCTTGTCCGGTCTCCTTTTCTGTCCTTTCCTTTTCTTCCTTATTGTTTTGTTTCGTCTACTTTTGTTTCCCTTCCTCCATTTCTTCTCTTCTCTCATTTCCTCTTCTTTTCACTAATCCTTTCCTGTCCTCTTTTATCATCTCATCTCCTGTCCTTTTGTCTTGTCATCTCTCCTCTTCCGTCCTTTCCTTTTCTTTTCTGTCTCATCTCCTGTCATCTCTTGCCCTTATTCCTTTACTTTCCTCTCTTGTTGTCTTCTTTTATCATCATATCTTGCCTCCTGCTGTTTTAATTTCTTTATTTCTTTCTTTCCTTTTCAATCCTTTCCTCTTATCTCATCCCCTGCCTGTTTGTTTCCTTTTCTTTCTTATTGTCTTGTCTCTTCTCCTCTACTGTTTCTTGTTTCCTTTCATTTTCCCCATTTCTTCTCTTACCTCTCTTCTCATTACTTTTCATTGTATTCTGTCCTTTCCTTTCTTCTTTCATCATCTTCTGCCTGTTTGTTTCCTTTCCTTTCATTCCCTTTCATTTTCTGTTATTTTTTCCTTCTCTTATGTCTCATTTCCTTTCCTCTCTTGCCCTTCTTCCTCTTATCTTTTATTGTCTGGTTATTTCTCCTTTTGTTTCCCTTTTCCCTCCATCTCCTGTTCTCTCCTTTATTTCCTTTTTTATTTCTCCTCTCCTCTCCTCTCCTCTCCTCTCCTCTCCTCCTTCCCTCTGGTTAATCCTTTTCTGTCCTCTCCTTTACTTTCTCCTCCTCAGCTCTGTGCGACATGCATCCGATGCGAGCGCTCTTCCTCATCCCCAGAAATCCTGCCCCCAGACTCAAGTCTAAGAAGTGGTGAGTCACGTTGTGCTCAAACACACACACACACACACACACACACACACACACACACACACACACACACACACACACACACTCACACTGACACACATTTCTCTGCACCTGCTCTGTGGTTATTATCCAGTCTCAGCATCACTCTGTGGCTCCTCTAGACCTCATTATTTGCCACATTCAGCAGTAAACTGGTTGCTGTGGGAAGGTGCAGTTTAGGATTAAAAATAACCTGGTGTAACACGGGAAAAAAATATTTTTCTGACACATGTACCCTTAACTGGAAGTTTCTTTAAGTTGGCCCTGTTGTGTGTTGTTGTTGTTGTTGTTGTGTTGTAACACAAAGTAGGGGAAGAGAAAGGAAAAACTGTAACTAGGAAATTAGTTGTTGAAAAATTAAATTTTCATTTTCTGTATTTATAAGGACATCACACATTAATCAATAGTTTTTATTACATTCTTTTATATACTGTTAATTAACATTTCTGTTTTTGTATCTGCTTTAGTATATACACATATATATGTGTATCTACTTTAGTAGATACACATATATATGTGTGTGTTGTTCTAAGGTAGTTATACATTTTTTTTGTACTTCAATCATCCTTTAACATTAGATTTTGTCTTGAACAGACATACCTGATGAATCATCATTATATTTATGCTGCCTATCTTTCAAAATCTCTGCACATGATTTTTATTATAAAAATGATGCAAATAGATTTCTAATTTTAATTTTTGTAATAATAGTTAATGTTAAATTCTACCACACCTAAAGTTATAAACACAACTTAAAACTTACTACTACTACTACTGCTACTGCTAATACTACTACTGCTACTGCTAATACTGCTACTGTTACTATGGCTACTACTGGTACTGACACTTAAAATACAACCTATTTTTACTACTACTTTTACTGCTGTTACTGCTATTGACACTAATAAAACTACTACACTACTTTATTCTTTATGTTGGATCCCCACTGCTACTATACTACTACTACTACTACTACTACTGCTAATACTGCTACTGTTACCACTGCAGCTACTAGTACTGACACCAATATTGCCTACTGTTAGTACTACTTTAACTGCTGTTGCTGCTACTGCAAATGGTACTGTCACTGATACTACTACTCCCACTACTAATACTATTACTACTGCTACTGACACTAAAAATACTACTACAGTACTTTATTCATTATTGTGGCTCCCCACTGCTTCTATGCTATTACTGCTACTACTACTACTAATACTGATACTAATACTGCTACCACTGCAATATTGGTACTGACACAAATACTACCTTCTGTTACTACTGCTGTTGCTGCTACTGCAACTGGTTCTGTCACTGATGCTAATGCAATGTGATTACTATTGTTACTCTGACCACTGTCACTGATACCAGCAATACTGCAACTACTGCCACTACTTTAACTGTTGCTACTATTTCTATTGGTACTACTATTTCTGCTATTGCCCAGCTGCTTCTACTGTACTTTGTGTTACTGGCTGCTACAGGTGTTGCTGATCATACTGCTATTTGTAGTGGCCCTTTAACTTTTTTTTTTTAATTATAAATACCAACTTAACTGAATAACTTTTTAATTAAACTTTGCATTTTAATTTGATTTATAAAGCCTCCATGTGTTTATCATTTACGATTTAAGGAAATTAAGATTGATGTCATAAAATTTGATCAGTCATGCATCTAACTTCCTGTGTGTGTGTGTCCCCAGGTCAAAGAAGTTCCAGTCCTTCATAGACAGCTGTCTGGTGAAGAGTCACAGTCAGAGGCCGAGCACCGAGCAGCTCCTCAAACACCCGTTTATCAGGGACCTTCCCAACGAGCGGCAGGTCCGCATCCAGCTGAAGGACCACATCGACCGTACCAAGAAGAGGAGGGGGGAGAGGGGTGAGGCTAGCTGCACCCCTGCTGACTCACCTCACAGCTGCGCCAAGTGTCATCTGCTTCGGATCATGTGATGTTAACCTGTGTGTGTGTTTCCTCCAGATGAGACGGAGTACGAGTACAGTGGGAGTGAAGAGGAGGATGAAGAGAGGGACGTTGGAGAGCCCAGGTATGACCACTACTACTCAAATCATCCACATGTTTATCATTTCTGATTTGAAGAAAATAAAGATTTACGTCGTAAAAATTTGATAACCTCCATTGAATTGTTAATAAATCCAATAAAGAACACTGACCACAGCAATTATCTACTCTGACTCATTCTCCTCCAGTTCCATCATCAACATCCCTGGTGAATCCACTTTGAGGCGGGACTTCCTGCGCCTCCAGCTGGCCAATAAGGAACGGTCAGAGCTGATTCGGCGTCAGCAGCTGGAGCAGCAGCAGAACGAGGAACACAAACGCCAACTACTGGCTGAGAGACAGAAACGTATCGAGGAGCAGAAAGAGCAGAGGAGACGGCTGGAGGAGGTAATTGGAGGTCTTTTATTTGCTACGCTATGTCAGACACCAACAATAATGTTTGTAATACAGATTAAAACACATGGGAGCATTATAAACTCAGGTAACCTTTAAGGTGAATTTTTAAAGGTGTTTCATTCTCTCTGATGCTCTCAGCAAAGAGAAACTATGGACCACAATAATGCAGAATTTCCATGTGGCTTGCATACCTGCACCATGCTGCGGTGCGGGGTTGTTTTTTTTTTACATGATGGTAAGAGGTGTTTACCGTGATAACACGTTAAACTGCAGTAAGAGCCCGTTGCCTGAAGCTCTACATGTAATTAGCTCATAATGGTAGATTTTCTTCAAAATAATGTACAGGATAAAACTGAAGTCTTGACAAGAAAGCTAAAAAAAGACCACATTTTTAAGTTTAACACACTGTTGCCAGCCTCAGTAACAAAGGCTGCATTTCCTGTAGATGCTTCACAATAAAAGTCTTTTAGTGCTCCTAGAGGAAAGAATCAGGATCAGAATCTGTAATACGAATGCAACAGTATTTGAAACTATAAGTAACAGCCACTTGTTTGTGACACAGAAGTGAGTCCAATGGAATGAGAAGATGTTGTATAGATAAGTCCTTATTTCAGCTTCATGAATCAGCCATTCCTCGTTTATTATGGCGTGTTCAGAGAAAGTGACTAGAATAAATAAAAACATGCATCCAACAAATGTTTAGCTCAAAACAGAGCACTGTGGTGCCCATGGTCAGTTAGGACACCTCTTTCTTTAGCTTAATATCCAAAATATTGCATATTGGTGGAGTTTTAGTTTTCTTGGGAGACTAACTCTGCCATGTCCCATCTCATCACCCCAAAAAAGGCATTAAATTTCTAGTAAACAAACACAACGTGCACTGCTCTTCCCCTCCCATCTCTCCGTCATGTTTCTGGTGCTCAGCTAACAAAGGACCTGTCAGGCACTAGTAGCTTTTTAAGTCCATTTACAAACAAATATAATTTTATGTAAATTAAGTTGTCATATTGCTCATTAATAATTCAATACGAGTTGGATTTAGAGTTGTGACACCGTCAGCACAGGTTGCTGATGTTGGATATATTTTAATTTGCGGGAGCGTGTCATAATGACAGATGCTGGTTCGGCCAGTTTGCATTTAATCAAACTAGATTAAGCGCTTATACTGGACCTCAGTGACAAAACTGGAAAGGAACCTAACTCTAGTGGAGACAACAGTGATTTGACCATTTAAAAGTGGGATAACGTCTCATTGGCATGCAATGACGATATACTTAGTTTTAACCATTGTGTATGTGTTGAAAACCTGTTGTGATTGTTCTTATATCTGTAAGATTTGTGTGTACTTGGAGGATTGAAAACTGTATCCACTAGCAGGCATATTAGGGCCAAATCATCCCTGGCCAACACCAGAATATAGAGTTTCTTTTCACAACCCTGAATGCACTTGGGCTTATTTGCATCTTGCAGACGTGTAGTGTATCAGTGCTCTAAAGCTTGCTGTATCCGTCTGTGGAATAGATGCATATAAAGTAATTTAAAAATATTCAGAAAGATAAAATACAACTGATGATGATTGAGAGTTCATCTAAATCAATGAAGCACCTCAACATCACATGTGATAATTGAGAATGACTGCCTGCCTGTTTTAGCCTACGGTTGTTTTCACCTTTAAAAAACATCTCAGCTTTGATTATAAAATGACTCGTCTTTCACGCAAAACCCTCCACACCTGTGATATTAGCACCTCAGCTTATCCAAATGCCAAGGAAACACACCTGATGTGCACAAACAACACACACGCACATACACAGAGCTGAAGCTGTTGTGTTAAATCTTCTCCACCTACAGCAACAGCGTCGAGAGCGCGAGATGAGGAAGCAGCAGGAGCGAGAACAGAGGAGGAGGTACGAAGAGATGGAGCAAATCCGTCGAGAGGAGGAGAGGAGGCACGCGGAGAGAGAGCAGGTGGGAAAACACCTTACAAACGTTACATCACAGGTGTCATCCAGAGGGGCGGGGCTAATCTCAACTCAGGAAAACTTGCTGTAACCTTTCACCCACCCTCATGAGTTATTTCTTGTTGACTAGCAGTTTTCTGAGGCATTTTTTTTTTTTTATTTTAATAATCAGTGCTGGTGGATGCTGTTCTTTAAATACAGTTAAAGTTGGTGCAATTGAATGTAATGTTTTAAATAAAACTACTAATGACAATAACAACAATGACAACAAGTACCCAAACTATATCTAAATATTCAGTTAAACATTTGATCCGGATCAAAAACAGTTGTACTACAAAAGACAGCATATACAGTGAAAATACGAGAGAGTCCCTTATTAATGATCATATAGACAGATATTATGTAACGAAACATGTCCTGTTTGGAGAGAGGGTGGTACTCTGTGTTTTAAGGTATTTCTTCAAACTCATTCTAAAACCAATAATATTTGATGAATGTAAAAATCCGAAACATTTGATATTTCATTCCTCAGAAAACAGCATTGGAAGGGTTACTTTACAAATGTATTTCATTACAGATTACAGAACACATGTCCTACAGTGTAATTTATAAGGTATTTCATTAGAATCTTAAAACGAAGTAAAGTATTCTTAATATTTTGGATTACTTTTGGAATACTTTAAAAGTGTCTTGCTTAACTTATTTGTCTGGGTCCTCTATTTCCAAGCCAAAAATGTGTGACAGTGTCCTGGCTGTGCATCTCCTCTGCCATTATCATGTAGCAGGTGCACTGCACACACTTTTTAAAAATCTGTTTATGGGAGATGCGTGCCTCAGATGAAACTGACACCGTGTCCTAACAGCAAGTAATTGTCGTCTCTGTCCACACTGAACTTGCTCAAAAGCACTTCTGTTATGTCATGTAAACAAACTACATTGGCGACCTATCAGCTATGCACTCAACTGGAGCAAGTTAATATAACTGCAGCTGGAGCAGCTACGTGACCCGCCCTCCAGCTACATGACTCGCCCACTATACCTACACGTCAGTCCACAAATAGCCCCCTTTACCCCTTTGGCCCAGAGGCGTAAGTCCAGAGGAAACTGCTAATTTAGCGTCTAGCTAGCTTTGAGGTATTACGTTAAAAGAGAGGCAGTTAAGGTTAGGATGAGGGTAATGAGAAAGCTACATCTTATTGCTTATGAAGTGAATCATGTCTTCATGTATTATGAATTCTAAAGTGGATTATTGCTATATTTGGCTCATTTATTTACTTCAGTGTAGCATGGTAGCACGGTTCATATAGCTGTCGCATTGGTGCGTTTGTCTTGCACTAGTAGTAGGTGTGGTTTGTAGCGGCGTGTCGTGTATGCTACAAATGGAATGTGTCTGCAGCTATGTCTCAACTGGAGACGTAACCACTTAAAAGATGGCTGAGTACCTGCTATTAACCAGCTTCTTAAACAAAAAAAACGATATTTGCTGATATGACACACCATGTGACCAAGAGCAAGTATGTTGTTATCAGCTATGTTCCTTTACCAGAAAGTTTCAGAGCTCCCTGGTGATCTCCCTCCAGCCAGCTGCCACCTTATTTAGGTTTCTGTAGTTAAATGAGGTGTTGTGTAGATAATTCCTCATTTCAGTTTCATGAATCAGCTGTTCCTCGTCTATTGTGGAGCTTCAAAGGAAGCAACAGGAACAATACAAACAGAAATAAAAGTTCAGCTCAAAGCGGCAGCGCTGCATTGCTTAAGGTCAGTTAAAACAATGCATTAGGAAACAATGTGATCAAAGTGACGCTTGCTCACATCGCACCCAGTTAGGACACAGTGTTAAGAGCAAACAAAACAATGCAAATAAAGTAATCCCTTCAAGTAATCTATTTTTAAAGACAGAAACTGTATTAAGAATACCATAAGTTGTAACAGAATACAGTAACTCACATGTTGTATTTAAATACATAACTCAGATACCTGTATTCCTTTACTCCCCACCCCTGTTTGAGTAAAACAGTACGTTGCCTTGCATTTGTTTTTGAAACAAGATGTGGAAAATAACATCTTGATGCATGTGTAGTATTAAAGTAATGGCCATTACTATTGTAAGAAAATTAATGGTACAGTACATTCAGGATTTTAGCCAATTATTTCTCATAAAACCATCATGTCCTTTAACAATGACCAACCTAAGGTCATGTGCGTTCTGATGAAGTTAACTCGTCTTTTACCGTTCAGAGAAATAAGTAGAAAGACAGAAGTGGAGAAAGATGTGTAGAATCATCACATACCACCACATTACATTATAACAGAGGAGATGAGAGGCTTTGCAAAAGACTTGCATGACTAATAGTTAACTGCAGTTCTACACTTCCTCAGCTCTTTACTTTTTCAGGCATGAATGTCTACCTCCTGCACAGCTGATTTCATGCTGATCTCTAACACCAGCCCTCCAACATTAAGCATGTCTCACTGCTCTACTAATTACAGCCCCCTGCTGCTTCTCTCTCTTTATCTCTCCTCCTCTATTTCTGACTAAATCCCTACTTTCACACCTCTTCAATAAATCTACTTTTCTCTGTCCTCCTTCTTTGATTTCCTGCTCTGCTGATGTCACTGGTTGCCTGGGCTCCGGTTTGCTTCTCGCCTGCCTTGGTGCACTCTGATTGGCTGCGTCTCACGCTGCTCCGGATGCTGATTGGTTAGGAGTATATCCGTAGGCAGCTGGAGGAGGAGCAGAGGCAGCTGGAGATCCTACAGCAGCAGCTCCTGCAGGAGCAGGCCTTACTGCTGGTAACATCACACACACACACACACACACACACACACACACACACACACACACTGACTAATTCATGGGACAGGTCTGCAGAACAACTTCTTGTGTTTAAGACAACAATGACAAAAGTTTCCATGACAACAGCTCAAAGAGTTGGTGACCATGGAAACAACATGGGTCCCAGGATTTGGAGAACACGGCGAGCGCTGGTTCCATGTTTGTTATTTTCACAAAGAAATCGTAAAGGCAGTCAATATTGGATCAATACTGAGACAAGACAGAATCACACATCAGCTCCACAAGAAAAAGTTATGAAACATCAGCTCAATAAATTCACACAGCGGAGGGTGTATCAGTCGATATCTGACGGTCCTGAAATAACACTTTACTCAGCTTCATTGTTCACAATAATGTTTTCAGCCTTTTTCAATGACAGACAGTGGAGCCAGTGTGACGTCTGTTTAACAACAAGTTCAGATATCTGTTTCTAAGTGGACACACACACACACACACACACACACACATCAGCTGCTGCAGACGTTGACACACAGCTCAGATAAATGCCAGATCTCTGACCTGACCAGACAGTGTGAGAAACATGCAAAGACAAGTTTGGCATTTGTCAGGTTTGGCTCCAAAATTAGAACTTTTGAAAAAGTCTCATAACACTCATAAACAAAACCTTTCCCTCAAAAATAAAAGACTGATAAATGGGGCTGAACGCCAGTCATTATCTTTAATTATGTCTCCATGCTGGCGACAGCCAAGGCCGGAGGCATTGTGTTTTCGAGTTGTCCATCCATTCATCCGTCAGTCTGTCCCATTCTCTTGAACGTGATATTTCAAGAACACCCTAAGGGAATTTCTTATTTCTTTGGCACAAACGTGCACTTGGACTCAATGATGAACTGATTAGAATTTGGTGGTTAAAGGTCACTGTGACTACTTTGAGTTGAGTATGAACAGATTAGATTTTGCTGGTCAGAGGTCAAAGGTCAAGGTCATTGAAACCCTGTCCGTCACATTCTTGTGAATGCAATACCTCAAGAGCACCTTGAGGGAATATCTTCAGATTTGGCTCAAACCTTCACTTGGACTCAAGAATGAACTGATTAGAATTTGGTGGTCAAAGGTCATTTTACATCCAAAAGGTCAAAGGTCAACTTCACTGTGACATCATAATGTTCTACAAAAACACTTTTCTAGTCATTACTCAACGTCATATCTCAGGAACAGAAGGGGAGACATTTGGTCAGATACTGAATGGTGACACTAATCTTTGGTGCCCAACTTGAAATCTGTGCTGCTGGGGGGAAGATGTGCTTAAATATGTAGCTTCTTTGCAGCAACATCAATATTTTAAGCATTGTCTACTGCCATGGCTACATATTAGTCTGGACAGACATGGATGTAAACTGCAGCTTGACTTGGTTCACATACAACTGCCCGGCAGTAATTCTAGTTTTGCATAAAATGGTTTAAATTTGATGAATGTGTATCCTTTTTGGGTTTCGGGGCATTATGTCTGAAAATTTAAATGTAAAGCTACATTTTTTTTGTTTTCTTTTCCAGTATAAATTTTGGGAACAAAAATTGTCATCTACAGTATAAAAAGGACTGTAATAACATTAATGTAAAAATATATGAGAAGATGCCCTGTTAAATTTAAATAATTAACACGGTGAAAGTAAAAAGCTGCAGTACAGTTGTAATACTTTCTTTAAAGGGACACATGGATCATGAACTGTATTTTTATCATTATTATTATTATTATTATTATTATTATTATTATTTTAAATTATGTTCTTTAGGGGTTTTTTGAAACTCGGACCATGATTCTTTCTTAATATTCTTAACAAGAGATTTAAGATTAATATTAAATGTAATTTCAGTACCTTAAATGTCTCATGACAAAGGCCAGTCATACCTTTGGACTTGCTTATTTGCAGTGTTTCCTTCCTCACTGACCTCTTATCTTTTCTCTGTATTGTGTCTGATGTGCAGGAGTACAAGAGGAAGCAGATTGAGGAGCAGCGGCAAGCTGAGCGGCTGCAGAGACAGCTGCAACAGGAGCGAGCGTACCTGGTGTCGCTGCAGCAGCAACAGCAGGAGCCGCCGCGACCGCCGCAGGATAAGAAGCAGCTGTACCACTACAAAGACCAGGCGCCCGGCAGCAACGACAAGCCCGCCTGGGCCAAAGAGGTAACCTGCCGGCCTGTCACACACAGGGAGGAAAACTAACTGTTTATATATTTCACATTTAACTGCAAAAAAAAACAGGAATTCATTTTCAGGAAATTTCCAGAATAAACACTCTTCTTTTTTTTTTTACTTCCTGAACATGGTGATGTGGCTGGTTTCAAGACACTGAAACTTGTCTAAAATATTTAATATTCCCTTTCTTAAAATTAACACATTGATTTGAATTGGACAGGTTTAAGCAGGGTGAAAAAATTCACGGCACTGCAAATTGTGAGAAGTAGTTCATTTAATACTCATCTACAGACAAAAATGAGAAAGATTTTTTTATGCAGATTGTTAATTTTTCAACTATGAATATGTAAATTCTACGTAATTTATAAACAGCTATGTATAACCTCATTTGCATTAAGGAATTAAAAACAACAATAAGCCAAAATAACTGCTTTTTAAGAATGAATGAAAGAGGATATGTCTAAAATAAAGAATACAAATATAGATCATGCTCTTTTAATCACATTTTAAATTTGCGGACTTTTAGAACCTTGTTAAAAAAAAAACTTTAGACATAGAATTTTAGTATAAAAATCAAAACTTAATGCACGTAAAATTACTTTTTGGAAGAAAAAACAATTTAATGATAAAAATTTAAGATTGATAAAAGAGACTGCATGCTGTCAAAGTTTTAGGAGGCAGTGCTGAACTACTGCGACACACAAAATCACACACACAGGCTCAGAGGCAGCTCTGCAAACATGTAAATGTGTGCACAGACACTCAGGTGAACCTTTACAAACAAAGACAAAAGACAGGTTTGCATGTGACAACAAGACGATGGCAACGAAGCAGCTCAGAGTGAAACAGCTGCTCAGCCACAGTGACAAAGCTGAGGCAGCTGTAAAGTGGTAGCTTTCATTCATAAGAACAAAAACATACTTGAAAACAACCCGATTAGTTGGTGTAAGAGGCTGGTTGAAGGCCAGCAGAGTTTAACAGTGTGTGTGTTTATGTTGCAGAGTGTTCTGTCCTCCAGGTGTCGTCTGTACTTTACCTGCAGAGGAGTTGTTCTTAACTGTAGTAACGCTGGAAATGACCACTTTCTGATTTTCCTTTTTTAGGTACAACAATGGGACAATGATGTATGTGCTGTGAAATTCTTCTATTGTGTTTTGTGTGATAAAAAGTTTCATTCCAAAAACATTGTTGAGCTGTGTCAAAGATTTTCAGTGACCCTCATTCTGAAAATTTGTTCATTCTCAAATAATGGAGTAATTACGTTCAAATATAGAAATGCAGAAAGCATAAAATAAGCTTCCCCTGACACCTTTTTGGTCCTGAGACTTGACATTTTGGAATGAAACTCATATTTACTACTCAGTGTTGCACATGCATTACAAATCCTCTGGCAGCCACTTTTGAATTGGCCACTAAACCAGAAAAGGAGCGATACCTGAAAGAAGTTGCTATTTGGCTGTAAATAAGTTTTCACCAGGTATAGTTAAAGGGGATACACATTTAATGTCTGATGAGATCTTTTTTGGTACGTTTAGGTCACTGTAAGTCACCATCCTGGTGTTTTTAATTAAGAAATGCTGCACGTTAACCCCATCTAGATGGTTATGTTTGAATCACAGAAATATTCTACAGCTTTTATCAAAAACAAATAGAAGTAGACTAGAGATATGCAGCAAATTAAACTAATGCATTTGTAAATAATAATGATAAAACTTTACATTCAGCAACACTGTGGTTAACGTGTGGTTAGGTGTAGGCACAAAAAACACTTAGGAAAAGCTCATGTTTTGGCTTAAAATCCCCAGTTTTGGGGTACAATCCCAGAAATAAAAGCAGTAATGTCTTGGTAAAAAACACTATCCCAGCTGGAAAAAAAACAGTAACGCAAACGCGAACTACAAAACACCTGCGTTTGGGGGTTAAAAAGCCACGTGGAAACACAGCAATGACTTGCTAAAAAAACAACCAGTTCTGTTGTTTATTAGTCTCAAACAGCGGCCTGCAGCTTGGCAGATGTCTCTTTAGAAATGTTGTTAGGAAATGTACATACAAACATACAAATGTATTTGTGGTTTACAGAAACAGACAATACTAACATTTGCTTCTGGCAACGGGGCTGTTAGCTAAGTAGATACTGAGATTAGCTTCGTTATTAAACACAAAATCAGTCAGACAGGTTTCCAGTCAAACACAGACTGAAGTGAATTATGTCTTTGTAATCATGATCAGGTTTAAATTTAGAAATGCTGGCAGCTGTTCTGTGATCCTCTATTATGGCTGCCAGGGGGCGTGTAGCATGACCTGAAGACCCTCATTAACACCCATATTCCTGTTTCCAGGTGTGTGTGTGTGTGTTTATTTACCTGCTGTCTTGTAAACACTCGCCTCGCTCTCCAGGTGATGCGTCGAGCTCAGAGCAACTCACCTCGTATTCCTCCCAAGAAATACCACTCCTTCAGGGAGCCACGAGAAGTCAACCTCGACAACCTCCTCTTACTCCCCGGTTACAAACCTCGCCGCCGCCGCCCCCCTTCCTACCCCGCCCATGACAGTCCTTCTAGGGAACACCTCCATGTGCCTCGCATCCGTATTACGTGTGTCCCTGAGTCCTCTCGGGCAGGGCAGCACCAGCAGGATCACGGCAGGAGCCCCGGACGGAGACCAGGCAGGAGCCCCAAGCGGAGCCCAGGCAGGAGCTCCCACAGGAACTCCAATAGGAGCCTCAACAGGAGCCCTGACTCCAGAGGCCGGAGCCCTGGGCGCCGGGTCAGTCGGAGGACGAACAGACTCTTTACTCCTCCCTTTCTCCCTCTCCTGTTTGATCCTGCAGTATGTGCAGGCTGACTCACTAACCCTGGAATGATTTCCTCTTTAATCACTCTGAATATTTTCATTTCTCTAACCAGGTGGACTCACACGCATTAACTCTGGGCTGGCAGCAGAAATGATACTGTGGACTCCTGTTTTTTAATTTCTCACCTGCTTCATCTCACTATTTCTCACAGGGATCTTTGGATTAACTTCCTCTTTGATTGGTGCTGTCACTGCTTCCAAAACTCAGACTAACTCCCACCTCTTGTGCAATAGTACTGAATCATATTAAAGTTCTCTCACTGAAAGTTGAACAAGAGTCTGCAGCAATACTAGCAGCTTTGTGAGGCTGTATGCTAGCATTTATTGGGCTAAAAGCTAACTTTACCATCCTTACAGTGGGTACTTTTACATGCACACTAATATTCCACTGCAACATATCCTCATACAACAGTCTGATATCCTACAAGTTAGTTTCCCATGAATGACGTTACATCCTTAACATCCTGTATTTAATGTAAAGTTATGGAGGTTAGGATTAGGCAAGTTAAGTTACTGTGGTTAGGGTTAGGGTTAGGTTAGGTTAAGTAAAGGAAAAATGGCGACGACTTACCTTAAAATAACTAAAAGTTCAAACGATACTGAACACTGGTCTCCTGGGAAAAGTCCTGTGTTTTGAGTCCCATCCACCTCCCCAGCCTCCCACCATACAGAACTGCTTCCTTGTTTATTTTTTACTCCCATCAGCACCTTGGTGACGTGATCGCAGCCTTCCCAAATATTTGGGTTCTGCACAAATTACTTGCCCATGATTATGTAGGATACAGTATGTACAAATTTTGGTCCATTACTTTTCACTGGAAAACCGACAGACAGGTTCTCCACTATTATTCCAAACTATTATTCTTTTTCCAAATGTAGCATTTTCTGATTAAGATGTAGGATATGTAGATATTATTCATGTTTTAGGAGTGTTCTTTAGACATGTTACACATGGCCTCTTGTCTTTTTAAAGTCGGCTCTGTGTATTTTCCACAATCCAAGATTCATGCTCAAAAGAACAGCCCATATTTCTGTTTATAAGAAGAAACACACCTGCTTTAACTTAGTAACTTATATAATAATAATAATAATAATATAATAATAATAACTTGGTTATCAACAAGTTTTTGAATATGCGCAAATATTGCAATGCTGACCTTTCCAAGAAGGCTTTTGAAGGAATGAAAGAAGGAGGCTGTGTTTGCACAGTCCAACAATTCCAGCACCAGTGGAAAACTTTGAAAAAATCCTGGCACAGACCACAACCACAATCACGTCAAAATATGGAAAAAGTGGAATACTTTTTTTAATGGTGTGGAAGGGCACATTAATCAGAGTATGCACGGCTGCGTGCACACAGAAACATTAGTGGATTATCCATTTTCATTAGCCATGTTAACAGTTTAGTAGGTATATTGTCTTTTTGGAATAAGAGCAAAAACTGGAATATTTTGTGCATGTAACCGTAGTCACTGACACTTTTGACAAACTTTCTTGTCTTGTAAGTATATTACTGGTTTATGGATGCAATACCGCCACCCTTTGATCCATGAGATACTGTGACACCATTGAGGAGAATGTGTATCATGTCAGTGTTCATTAGACACAAAGAAAACAAGGACGTATAAAGACATCGCTCCACAGAGCTACTGTACTAACTACTATACCTTTAAGTGTCATCTAAAGCTATTGGCCATTGTCTTTAGTACTGTATGGTTACATCCTTGAAAGATGAACAGTTTATATGTTGGGTTGACAAAACTACTGGTGATTAAACAAACTTGCTGACATTTGAACAAATCACCAGTCAAATTTAAAATTGCAATATTTAGAAGCTCATGTAAGCAGCTGCTAATATGAAATCCATTTTACAGACTGGACTGTGTTTATTTTAGGGATGCCAAATGCTGAATTTGAAGCATTTTAATTGCTTTTTCAGAGAGAGGTCATTCACTTTGTGGAGGGTGCAGAAAATACACAAAGTTGTAAGAAACAATCACCCCATCATTCCTCCTTTGTACTTTAAATCTTCTCTTAATAGTCTTAGTGTTTAACCTTCACTTTCACCATTTTACAGGTTACTGACACTGTCTGAGTGTTGCAGGTTGATCCTTTATCTTTTTTTTTTCTACTGAAGTAGCTCCTGATCTGTTGCTTTTATAACCAAAGTTGTAATATTAATTAAGCAATAAAGTCATTTGTTGCAGAGTTAGGTATATTTTCTTGGTCTGGGCTTCTTCTCAAGATTAAAAAGATTGGAAAGGGGGAACTTTTAAGGTTGAGAGCTGCTGTTTTATTGCATGTTGTGGTGTGATGGGTTCATATATCTAACAGGTACTAACTTCAACAGCTCAAACTAACATCCATTTAATCTTATGCTTTGTTTATATTCGTTTACAGAAGAACTCTCATAATTTCCAGATTAAGTATTTCCTTTATCTTTCTTTTATATTTTGTGTTTATTAGTTGTATTGAGCTTTACACACTTATCAAACATGACATTTTGACACTTTTTACAGGATGTTTAATATGTGTTACCTTTTAGTTTTGTGTTAAATGTAACTTTAAGCAAAGTCACACCAAAAAATGCAGGTCAGCACTCCATATTTGAACTCTGCCAGTTTTCTTACCACCATAAATCGAAGCCGAACAGCTCACAGCTCACAGCTCACATGTGACCGCCCTTCCCCAGTGTATACACCCACATTTAGGGCAGATCTCCAGGCCTGCCCTCTGGTGGCAGCTGGTGGACTGATGTAGGGCAGCTGTAGCTATTATCAGTCTCTCTCCCTCTGGACACCACACGTGGAAACACACAGATAGAAATGCACGCTCTGTACAGATAGGTCTACCCTCATCTCAGCCCTCCCAGGATTTCCCTCAAAGCTTCAGAGGAAGAAAGATTTCCATCACACACAGACACAATGTTCCAATCTAAAAACAGAGTGTTTAGAGGAAACACAACCTTTGTTAAAGCACCCATGAGGTGACATCTGCAGCCTTTTCCAAATTAACAACACTGTTAGAACTCAAACATGCTGCTTCTATAAATGACTATGTGAACCTCTCACTCAATAGCTTTGACACATGTATCCATGGAGACCTTTAATACAAAGGAACAACTATTGAGCCTATTCAATTCTGTCAGCAGCACTTTAATTGAATTGTAGCGTTTCCTTTGACTCTGTCGTCGTAGTTCAAATTCCCTCTGATTAAAAATACTTAAGTTTATTTCCTTTTCTCAATATTTTTTTAAAAAAAGTATAGTTTTCTTCTCCAACCACTGAGTATTTCTATCAGCTGACGTTATCAGGTAGTTAATGCATTTAGCTGCAGTGTGAACCCGGCTGGCAAGATCATAATATCAATCCAATAAGCATCTGCAGATCAAAAGCAGTCAGATGTCTTGGTTCAAACTGGGCAAAATTTGTGTGTTAAGATGGAGGTGGGCTTCCATGCCTGAACCAAAAACAAAAATCTAAATTATGATGGTCATTATAAAATCAGGAGTTCAGCCATTAAAGTCGGAATTTCCAAGAAAAAACTGGAATATTCTCTGAGATTTTAAAGTCATAAGTTTGGGAGAAAAAACTTAAATATTCTCTATATGAAAGTTGTGAATTTACAAAATAAAAGCAAAATAATGTTTTTTGTTTTTTTTAGATTATTATTATCAAGGAACTTCGCTTCACTTTGCAAGGAGGGATCAACCTCATTACACCATAGACGACACCATATGCCATGTTAATGCTTGCAGTGGATGACCTAGTCAAATTATACTTTGCATTCTGATTTAGCATTGAGAATATACTTGAAATTTTAGTCCATATTCAGGATCAACATAATATCATAAACATCTAGACTTTGTGGAGACATTGCCTTGAATTGGGCCTATTCAGAAGAAAACAACACTCTAATATGGATGAGATGATAGCCTAAAACACTCTTTTTCCAGGATTTTTTCTCGCAAATTTATGACTTTATAATCTCAGAGAATATATAGATTATAAAGTCATAAAAAATTTGAACAAAAAACATTATTCTTTATTTCTGCACAACATACAAGAGTCTGTGGGAGTAAGCGTCACCTTAAGCTCATCCAGAAGCGGAGAATGGATGCAAATTGTGTCGTTCGCTCCAAAAAAAACCTCAAATATATTTCAGGATATATATATCAGGAATTAAATCTTCCTTATACACTTTTAAGTCTTGAAAAAGAACATCTGGATATGATGCCTTATCACAGAAAACAACAACAACTGAATTTAGTCATATGAAATCAAACTCATTTATGAAATACCAGCTTTCTTCGTACGTGATGGAATTAAACCGTTGGTATACACACCTCACTGCGTGCTGTGAGTGACTGTGGTCTGTGTGTGTGTGTGTCAGGTGGAGGAGCATTATAAGATGAACAGACAGACTTCTCCTGCATTGCAGCACAAAGTCTCCAACCGGATCTCGGACCCATCGCTGCCGCCCCGCTCCGAGTCCTTCAGCAGTGGAGGCATCCAGCAGGCACGGACCCCGCCGATGCACCGCTCTGTTGAACCACAGGTGTGTGTCCTATTATGTCTTTACGTGGATGTGTGAGTGTATGTGTGAGCATGTAACGCAAACTTAACATCCCTCAGGGTGTGATCACACTTGGTTTCTTTGGTCTGTGTGAAAGTAGAAAAGGTCAGTTTATCGCAGTTTTCAGATTGTGACCTCCAAGCTTGAGAACATTGTACTCTACAGGAAAACGATGGTTTGCTCCCTTCAGGATGGGGTTAAGTCACAGGTGGAGCGTGAGACCCCCAGGTGTATTGTTGTTGTGCCAGCAGTGAGGCACACACTGCACAAGCCTGCTCTGGTGAAGAAGGAGCTGACTCTGCTTCTGATTTTTATGGACATAATCTCAAAACAGAGCCAAGGAGTGTCTGCTGTGGTGCATCTCTTTGCAGATGATGCAGCTCTGTTGGCTTTTTCAGACCTGAGCAGGAAGCAGCTCTGATCCAAGTCTGAATTAGTGGCACTCTTTTGAGAAACAGTGGTGCCCTTTTCAGTTTTGGCAAGTGTTTGATAGGGTCTACAATGAGGATAGGATGAGAAGGAAGAGACTCTCAGGCAGGCTGGAGCGTGCACCCTATTGTTTCCCATAATGCTACATAGTGAACATCAAATCCATGTTGAAATCAAGCTCCCAGGAAGTGCCCTTTACTTTGAAGCCAGTTGTCATAGTGGCCAAACAGTGTCCGTCATGAGATGCCATGTGGCCCAAATTGACTTTTTTCCTATTGACTTACATGTCAAAATCAGTGGATTCATTTCTATGAGCATCCTAATCCTGCAAAATAGCTTGTTTCAGCATCAGGATTTAATCCCTTCAGTTGATAATATTTGGAAAGTCTAGAAGGACTGACAAGGGCTGGAAGGGCTGGAAGTTAGCGTTTCCACTCTGCGGGCCAGAAATGAAAATTGGGCCAAGGTAATGATAACAATGGCGAAGGTACTAGGTAGTGTAATGAAGGACTGAATAAGTGAATGAAAGCTGTTCAGTTGTTTATTTTTTTTAGAATGAAGATTTGTGGTTTTCCCTGGCACAAAAGGTGGGATAAATAATGACAAAACCTAAATAAACAACAATAACAAAAAACATTGGCATGGGCTATTGCCCTAATTGTTATTTTAACTATCAGTATGGGCCCAGAATTTCACAATCAGTACATCCCTAAATCAAAGTATATTCTATTCCCACAGTGAATCTCCCTCTCAGTGTTCATCAAACTTGATCTTGTTGCTTTGTGGATTTTGCTCAGCTGCAGTGAACTGTGCAGGGTGCAGGCCTTTGACAGGGCCTCTGAAAAGAATCTGTAGTTTTGACTCTGTCTCAGGTCTTTATATCATTTAATAAGACATGAAGAAAAAGCTGAATACAAGCTTTTTTCCAGACTTCACTCGACTTTACCAGCAGAAAGAACTGTTGGCTTCTAGAGGTTAACGTTCGTCTACGGACTTGTGTTTTCATTCTTTTGAAACACATGCAGTAGTTTTCTTACTGGAGGTTACTTCAGGGTTGTTGGAGGAAATGTCGCTGTTGAAGCTGAACCAAAGAAGCAAACAGTGTTTGTACATGACTGGTGTGAACGCACCCTGAAGCATGTGGTTTATACCTTCCTCTCCTTCTTTCTCACCTCCTCTCTCTCTCCTCCTGCACCACTCTTCCTCCTGACTTGCATCCTTCATCTTGATCACATTGTGTGACTCCTGATCCTGCTCTTCCTCCTCAACCCTGCTTGTTTCCTGCTTGTGTGTGTATGTGTGTGTATTTGTGTGTCCAGATGGCCCACCTGGTGCAGGTGAAGAGTCACGGTCTGTCAGGCTCCCAGTCTCTGTACGACCCCCACGGCGTGTCCTCCTCCTCGGCGTCGCCCTCCCCCTCCCGGCCTCCCATGCCCCGGCAGAACTCCGACCCCACCTCCGACACCCCTCCTCCCCCGCCCCTCTCCCGCCTGGCGCCCCCCCTCGACAAGTTGGACCGCAGCACCTGGCTGCGGCAGGACGACGACATGCCCCCGAAGGTCTTTGCATGCCACGACCCGTGTGTTTCTGTTCGAGTGTTGTGTGTCTGTGTGTTAACTCTTGTGGCTTTTCTTTCAGTTTCGTTCAGTTTTTAGTTTATGTTTAGTTTCTGTGTCCATTTGGAGTCTCCGCTGATGTTTATATTAAATATATTTAATTTTTAGAACAGATGATGGTCTGCCAACTGATCTTATTTGCAAAAAACTGTTAATAAAGTAAAATACATTTTAATAATTGACAGAAAACACTTCAAAAACGCAGGCCTATCACGATAATTTTATTATCGTCTTGTCGTACGATATATGGACATGACCTCAATCATTTTGCTGACCTTGATATTGCCCGTTGTGTTTACATGCATGCTTGTTTACATTAGAAAATCACCAATATGGGGCGTCGATGGCTTAGTGGTAGAGCAGGCGCCCCATATACAAGGCTGTTGCCGCAGCGGCCTGGGTTCGAATCCAGCCCGTGGCCCTTTGCTGCATGTCATCCCCCCTCTCTCTCTCCCCCTTTCACACTTACCTGTCCTGTCCATTAAAGGCAAAATGCCCTAAAAAAAATCTTTAAAGAAAATCACCAATATTTAAGCCAACATAATGAATGAACAGCAGGGTGTAGCCCATCATCATAAGACCTGGGTGCAGTGATTCTCCTTATTTTCTCTCCACTGCGCCCACCTTTCCAAAGAAACTTTTGATTAAAGACGACATAGTGTAGCTTACTGGTAGCCTGTGGTGGCACTTTTGGAATGGAAGAGGCACAGTCCTGATTGTCGTTGGATTGCCAGCTCTTGGCAACAAGCCAAAAAGCCCATCTTTTTTAGTTTTACTTTCCAACAACTTAATTCTCCACTCCCCAGGCTGTCCATCTCTTGGAGCCAACTGCAGCACACTGGTCAGATAATGGAGGTAACTGTGGTGTTCCCCTAGCTCCGCTAAGCTTGCCATTAATCGCAAAAGACATCACTTGGTTTTGTTTTGTTGGCCAAATTTTGTATCAAGGCCCTGTATCCACTAGTGTTTTTATCACAGCTGAAAACGCCATTTGCTACTCAGAATCTGAGAAACACATTAATATGTATACAGTACATTAACATACTTCTTCTCTTTTGTTGTTGTTCAGCACTTGTACATGTAAGATGTGACAGTGGGTCTTTGTGGTGTTTGTCCCTGCTCCGCTGTGACTGTATGGCTGGGAAATAGTGAGAGTGATGAGCATGTCATTTTACCAAAAAATAGAACATTTTTCAACTCTCGTTGCTCAGAAAAAAATATGCCAAACGTGCAACACTCAGCGCACAAGAAATACTCAGGGCCTTGTCATGCTGTTGGTGTAGCGCAGTGTAAATATATGTCGATTCCACTGCAAAGAATTTTAGAAATACATAGTTGACACAGGCCCTAAGTCTCAAACTGTGTAATTTTAGCTACTCCTGTAAAGGTACTTTATTTTAAATATACTTTCTTGTATATATTAAAAGGTGTGAATTACTTTTTAAAGTAATGTTAAATATTTTTTTCATAATCTGGTTCCAATGTCTGAATATTCTCAATAGTTGAAAGTTCATTGCTCTTTGGAAGGGTGTATTTGCATGATGATGCTATTATATTATCATTATATCAAATCAAATATAAAATTGTATCAAAATAATAATAATAATCTAATTTATCACAATTATTTCTGGGACAGTCCAACAAAAGTAGTGACAGGCCTACAAATGAACATAAACCTCTCCATGAAATGGATCCACTTGTACTTCAAAAATACATCTTCTCTGAGTGAATTTACTCATAGCCAATATTGGAAATTTGTATGTAGAAAATGCTGCCCAGATGTAGGAAAGTGGTTTCCAAACTTTGGTCCAGAGGCCTGAGAGGACCCATTAAAAGAAGAATTTTGACTTGGATTTAAAGGTTCAGTGTGTAGGATTTTGGAGGGTCTATTGGCGGAAATTGTATGTAATATCCATAGATATATTTTCATAAATTTAAGTCATTTATATATGGAGAAGGCGCTTCTCCACTGAGTTCACCATGTTGTTCCTACAGTAGCCCAGAATGGACAAACAAAACACTGGGTCTAGAAAGGGCCATCAGGTTTTCGTGTTTTCACATTTTTGCGTCGGCCACCGTAGTTCTCCTACACACCTGACACACAGTAGACCTTTAATTTAAGTCCCAGCAGCTAGAAACTGATATGATAGTGGGTTTTTTTTTCAATTCTGGATCAAATCATATTGAACAACACAGATGTTGTCACACAGGGAGTGCCCTCTGATGAAGTCTGTGTTGGAGAGAGACTGATATGAAAGCACATGGGAGATTCTGACCCAGACAGTTCTGCTGTATGTTCCCCAGGTTCCTCAGAGGACGACTTCCATCTCTCCTGCTTTGGTCAGGAAACACTCTCCTGGAAATGGACCCGGCCTGGGACCTCGGGCTGGAGCTCATCTCATACGGGCGAGGTACACAAACACAGTATTAGAAAATATGCTTAATAATAAATGTAATGAAGTACAATATTTCCCTCTGAAATGTAGTGAGTCTGAAACTTAAAGTATTAGGTACCATAAAATGGAAATACTTGGTTTCTAATACAGCACACCCCACAATCCAGGCATATAGTACACACACACGCAGAGCTCTGTGGAAATGCAGGTGTGATGATTTCAACAGTTTCCCAAATGAATGAGACAGTGCTGTGTTTGTGTTGCCGTAGCAACCCCGACCTGCGGAGGACCGACGTTTCCATGGAGACGCCCCTGAAGAGGACGAGCAGCGGCAGCTCCTCCAGCTCCAGCACCCCCAGCTCCCAGGGAGGTTCCAACGAACGAGGTGCACACACTCAGAGACACACACTCATGTTTGTACTTGGCTACTTGTGAGGGCCCTCATTCATGTGATGCCTCCCCAGTTCCTCTCCCTGACTTTACATTTATTTAGTGACTAAAAAGCTACTCACAATGAATGAATACAACCTTTGTAGGAACAAGCAAAAGTCAATGAAAAGTTTCCAAAATTATCCAAATATCAAGCATTTCCCAAAATGTCAATAATTTTTTTTTAAAAATCTTCACCTTCCCTAGAATGTTTTCACATGTCAGAATGATAAATATCTTCACTTTCCTCAATAAAACTTTACCTTCCAAAATTGCCCTTGCTTCCAAAAGTGTCTTTGCCATTTCCTTGGTCTTAAATTGAAAAAATGTCCAAAAATTCCAAATTCCAAAACAGTCTTCAGTTTCCCAAAATGTCTCACTTTCTTGAATAATATTTACCCACAATTTCCAAAACGGATGTCCTTGCCCCTTTTCTACTAATGTACTCAACCTCAAGAAATGTATTCACTTTTCCAAAATAAAATTAATTTTAAAAGATAAGATATTTTCACCTTCTCAAATTAGACTTAATTAAAGAGGATATCCTTACTTTCCCAACGTATCATTAATTAAAATAATCCTCACTTTGCCAAAATATTCTTAATTACCTCTGCCAAGGAGGTTATGTTTTCGCCGGCGTTGGTCTGTTTGTCTGTTTGTTTGTCTGCAAAATAACTCAAAAAGTTCTGAACAGATTTTGATTAAATTTTCAGGAAAGGTTGATAATGGGACGAGGAACAGATGATACAATTTTGGTGGTGATCGGTTGAAGTGGATAAAATAATAAAATGGCGGGAAATCCGAGCTGCTTGGCAGAGGTCTGCGCTCTCCGAGTGCTTTTCGAGTTTTAAAAAAGATCCTCACTTTCCAATCTTATCATTACCTTGAAAAAATATTTTCACTTTCCAAAAATATCCTTAATTTTAAAAAATGGCCTCACTTTTCCAAAACATCCTTAATTTAAAAAAAATCCTTACTTTCCCAAAATATCCTTAATAAACAAAAAATCCTCACTTTCCCCAAATACCCTTAATTTAAAAAATATCCTTACTTTCCCAAAACATCCTTAATTTAAAAAAAAAATATTCTCACTTTCCCAAGATGTCTTCACTTGTCAGAAGGATTAATGTTGTTATTTTCCCTCCAAAATCTTCACCTTCCAAAACTGCCATTGCGTTCCAAAGGTGTCCTTATTTTTCCATTACTCTCAGTTTTTTTTTAAAAAAAAAATCCTTTGCTTTTCTTATTGATGGATGTCCTCAATTTTCAGAGAAATGTCCTCACCTTCCAAAAATATCCTCAATTTCCCAAAACGTCTCACTCTCTTGAATAATAAATGTCCTCAATTTCCAAAAAATGTCCTCACTACTGAAAACTGTCCTTACCCCCAAAATGTCCCATTTTCCAAAAATGTCCTGACTGTCTATAAATGTCCTCACCAATGTTCCCTCTAATTTTGAAAACTCCTGAGCAGACATTCAACTCCTCTGATCACCTACTTGAGCGACTGTGGGCGACATCTGATGCGTACACACTACATCGACATAGCGGTGCCATGGCATCACCTCTCCAACCCCAAATATCATTACAAGTGAATATTACTATAAAGATTAATAATAAGATTATTTTAACAACATGAACTACTGAATATCTAGGTCAGTTACAATTAACAATAACAAAACATTGTTTTATAATAATACATATAATAGATTTTGCATTTATTGCCATAATGTGAACAATTAAGAGAAAAATGTTCTCCATAAATGTCACTTGGAGACAATACACAAACATTTAAGAGTGATGGCAACACAAAGAGCAAACAACTCTTTGGAATACAAAATAACACTCTTTAATAGTAATTAGGCCTCTAAACTGCAACAAATATAATATGCTAGATCAAAAACTAAATGTAAACTTAAATTGTAGTTGTACTACTACAGACAGTGCCACTGTACTGGATGAAAACATTTTCCTGGCAAAAAATATTAGTGGCCAGGCAGTGCAATGAGCGCATGTAAACATACATTGTAAACAAAAATTGTAGCGGAGCTACTACTACAGACAGTGCTGTACTGGATGAAGTTTTTATTGGCAAAACATATTGCTGGCCTGGCCAGGTAGTGCAGAAAAATATCAGAATATATTTATGTTGTAAGTGTTTGTGCATACATAGTCTGTGTGTGTGTGTGTGTGTGTGTGTAAACTCGCCTTGTACTTTTGCTTGGTGCCTTGTACGCCTCACAAACAACTCCATTCTCGCTTGAAAAAGAAAAATATTGGCAAGTTTCATCGGTGGCGTTCGCTCATCTGTTTGTATGTACTCCAAAAGCCACTCCACCCTAAACGACGCGCGTTTTTTCTTAAGATTTCCAGAGGACGAAGCGCCACAGCCCACACATTTAGCCATAGCTACAATGCTATGCCTAACGGCTAACAACGAATACGTCAGCAGCGAATACCCAACATAATGCCGTTGATTGGCTGTCAAGCTTAACAGCTGTTGCAGATATTGGCTGGGCAGCGCCTGGTGGGCATGTTTTTTTAATCATCACTGACTTACAGTTCACTGTCACCTGTCACTCACTGCACAGACAAACGCCCACAGTGGAGTACTTATTTACTGTTCAAGTCACAAGACAGCGCATATGAGAAAAAAATAAATAAATAAAAACAGTAAAAACTGGTCGGGGATATTTGAGCGCGCAACTTTTTTGTTATCTGTGCAAAGAGGTGCTTAGAAGGAACAGTGGTCCTCACCCAACTTTCTAAAATGTCCTCACTTTCTAAAATGTACTTCTTTTCCTCTAATGTTGTCACATTCCTAACATGTATTTTCTTTCCAAAATGTCCCCATTATTCAAAAATGACCTTACTTTCCTAAATGATAGATGTCCTTAATTTCCAAAAATTGTTCCCACTTTCCACAAACACCCTCCTTTTGTCTTTTTCCACAAATGTCCTCACTCTCCTAAAATGCCTACTCTTTCCAAAATGTCCCTACTGCTTACAAATGTCTTCAGTTTCCAAAACTTCTTAATGATTGATAAATGTCCTCACTCAAACTGTGTGTGTGTGTGTGTGTGTGTGTGTGTGTGTGTGTGTATGTGTTTTCAGGTAATTCAGCTGCTAAGACTGAAGGCTCGACACTTTCTTCCCATGAGACCAAAGATGACGGCAGAGAGGTGACACGACCCAGCAGGCCTGCAGTGAGTATACACACACACACACACACACACACACACACACATACGCAGAGGGGGATTGGACAGGAGAAGACACACAATGGATCATAAAGGGCGAACACAGCCAACTGTTCCTCAGACACATGAACTCATATGTATTCAAACAGCATGTGTGATTTAAATATACATTAGCCACACACACACCCACACACACACACACACACACTGACTCTTCTCTCTGAACTAACCACGCTGCTGTTCATGTTCACTCTCTTCTTCTCATCCTGTCCTCCATCCCTCCTTACATCGTCCTTCAGAGCTATAAGAAAGCTGTAGACGAGGTTAGTGACATTTCTCCTCCTTCACCACCCTCTCTCTGTCTCAACACATTTCCCCCACCTCTTGATAAAATCTCTCTCTCTTTCTCTCACACTCACCTGTCCATTCACTGAGTCCGCTGGATTCCTGCTGCAGAATGAAAAAAGTTGTTTTTCTATCCTGATACAATTAAAAAACATCTTTCGGTCCATGGCTGTCGCCACACAGAGCAGGTGTAGACAGGCTCCAGCCCCCTTGTTCATTTCACAGCTTTCACAACTGAAACAACTGTCTGACAGACATGTACAAACCCTCCTTTCTGTCTGATCAGAGGTCTCCACCATTGTTTTTACCTCCTGTATCGGGGATGAAGCTGTTATTGATGACCAGTGTTGGGATGGTTTTGAAATGTAATAGGCCACAGATTACTTCATAAAAAACATAATTACTAATGTAAATATTTAGGCATATTTTCCCTTTGCTGATGTGTTTGTATCCACTTCAAGAGATGGAATAATAAATGTTCCATGTCCATCCACTGCACATCACAGGAAGCCATATATGTGCCCCATTGGCACAGCACAGAATACCTGGTATTCTCACTGAGGGGATGAAAGCTGCCAACAATAAAGCTTCCTGCTGTGAGAAAGCAGAGACAAAGGTTACACATTGCCACAGTCCAGCAAGGAGCTGTAGGGAAAAGGGCAGACAGGAGGGAGAACACACAATCAAATCATCTGATATCAATCACATGCTGTGTTCCTGCTCAGTGCAAATTCAAACAAGAGAACCAATTAAATACAATGCTTCAGATTTGAGGGCATACTGCCAAATGAATGGAGCCTGTCAGGACATAGAGGCAGCTCCTTGTAAAGTGGGATTTATGCCATTACTGCAACTAAATGTCACGCCGGCGTAGACCTTTTGTTTATTTTTGTAAGCTGAAAATCAGTTCTCTCAGTGGAAACAAAGTTTTTATTTACTTTTATTTTACTAATAAAAAAACAATAAATTGTGAAGACGATAAATCCCCTGTAAAGTAGCATTTTAAGTCTTGTGTGTGATTTATTTCAGCTTCGTATGAGTAGAGGAAAGTCTGCTAGCCACTGGGCTAATTTATGCAATATAAAATGTCATAGGCTTATGCTAATGACGTTAGCATGTTATCTTTATGGAGAAAACATGTCTAATATGAGACAGTTGTTTGGTTGGTGAACCTTGTGAGTTTTAATGGAGCTGAATTTTGTAAGGTTACCTTTGGTAAACGTGGCTGTTGTTCCTGGCTTCATATGAGTAGACGACAACTCTGCTAGCTTCTAGGGTAATTTATGCAATGTAAATTATCATAGGCTTATGCTATGACAGCAAAAGACAAGTGCTTTGTCTCGGAACCTTGTGAGACAATTTGTGTACTTGTGTTTGATATTGTCGCCATTAAGTCATGTTAAATGTTTGTTTTGGCTGTGTTTTGGATCAGTCAGACTTTACAGCAGTTCACAGAAAGCCCACTGCTAACCTGTGTTTTGGAGGTGTAATTGCAGAGCAATGCAGACACACCACTGCACAAGTATAAATGCTCACAATGGCATAGTCCACTTGTGTTGGCTATGGTGTAGGCTGTGCAAAGAGCCTACGCACAACTTTTAATCCTCCTCAAATCATCGTACACATGATGGTGTTACACTCAAATTTGTCCCAATGGCTTTGCTGACCTGTGTTGTTGAGAAATATGCTAAAAGAAAGTGAAAAGATGCAAAGCAACAGAGATAATGTTCTATTCTGCATATAAGCCTCTTACCAAAAAGGATATATTCAGCTGTAACCTAAGTTAATGGCATTTTCTTTCTCAGTAACTGTAACTAATTACAATTACATTTAATTTGTAATTTAATTACGTAATGCTGTTACATGTATCTAGTTACTCCCCAACACTGCTGATGAGTTACTGTAGGATTCATGTCTTTCTTCTCATCTCACTGTTTTCTATTCACTTTAATTCCTGTGACCACTTCAGACATCTCTGCTCTCAGGTTTCATTTCCAGTCACTCTTTCTCTCTCTCTTTCTCTCATTTTATCTCTTGTCTCTCTCATTAGGAGGAGTTGGTAAGATAACCTTCCACTCCGTTCCTCCCACAATCTTAACCACAGCCCCCCCCCCCCGACTTCCTGTCACTTAACCTCTGACATGCACAGCTCTTTTTACTGCTGATGTCACAAAGACTGAATTTAAAGTCCCCTGAACTTTAACCCCCGACCCTCCTGCACTGATCGACCCTCTTCTCCCTACACTGTCCTGCTGCTCGCTGCCCTCCCCACTATGGAGACTCAGTGATGTGGCTGAAATGTAAATGACTTTTACTAACAGCTTGAATTGTGCCACAAAGAATAAAACCCCCTCTGATTTCTCTCTGCTGCTTGGTTTTTAAAGCCACATTTACTGTAATACTGAAATGATTTTGGGGTAAAATAAAATAACCAGTCGAGGTGAGCACATTAGTCCTGCTGTTAAACCTTTTCACTGGCTTCCAACTGCTTATAAATACATTTTCAAGTTCTGCTGCTCATCTATTAATCACTTCACAGGTTGGAGCCAAAATACATTCATAATGTGCTTGAAGTTGCTTTTAGCTTCACACAGATGGAAACACTTAATGATGACCTCATGAGTGAATCTAAAATTAAAAACCTTTCTGTTGCAAGTGCCTGTGATTAATTATTTTTTCCAACTTTTCTCTCCTTTGTTAAATTAGAACCAAGTTCTTACTGCACTGAAAATAAATTTCTGTCTATTATATTTGTTTTTTATTTAGTTTTGTTGATTTTGCTCATGTACAAATACAATGATTTACATAAAAGCTATAATAATAGTAGTAAAAGTATAATTTATACTATAGATACTTGTCTCATAAAACCTGAAAAAGCCAGAATGGTATTCATTTTAGGCCTTGAAAAATATTAATCACATTGGTTATTTACACATTTAGAGGTTTTGAGGTCAGCTTTGTTTTACTATTACTTATTTTCAAAGCATGACTGTGTCCTTCTGAAGCTCATAGAATAGAGTAGAATAGAAAATACTTCCTCAACTCCTTTTTGCATGCCGAATGCAGACGTATGTCTTTGGTTTGCATGTGCAAAACCTGCTTTTAAAAAGGGTAAATTAAAATACATCATATCACATCCAGACAGGACACAGTAAAATGCATTTACATAAAAACACAGTAGATGCCTGATGCAAGACTCTGGCCCCAACACTGTGGTCGAGTAATATACAGTAGTGATAAAATGAATAAATGATAAACAAACAGATAGAATAAATAAATAAATGGATATGTATACTGTGTTGACTGCAGGAGGTTATGTAGTTACAGTAGTAGACAGATATATAAGAACAGAAAGAATGACACTAAACTTCCACATTTATATGAAACAAAGCTGCAGTGACACCTGTGAATTAAATTGAGTCACACTTGTGTTTATTGCATAAAAGCAAACATCACTAAACATTTGAAAAGCAGAGGTCACATTTCCCCACAGACTCTTTGTAAAAATCCTTTCACTTTAGTTCTCCTGTCTCTCTTGGTGTTCCCCGCATCCTCCAGGATCTAACGGCTCTGGCCAAAGAGCTGCGAGAGCTGCGGCAGGGAGAGGAAACCAGCCGCCCGCCCGTCAAAGTGACAGACTATTCATCGTCCAGTGAGGACTCTCACAGCAGCGAGGATGAGGAGGGAGAGGGTGGAACTAATGATGGGACAGTAGCTGTCAGTGATATACCACGGATTATGTGAGTATTAGTGTTCCTGTTTTCCTGGACATGATCCCCCACTTGCTTCCCACAGTCCTCTACAGCAGTTCTGTCATAACATCTGTTTTTAAGAAGCTCATCATGTGCAGTGTTTGGTGACTTTGTTGGAAATGTGTAGATTTAATATGTTTATTACTGAGCTCAGTTATAGGTTGTGTCGTGTTGAACTGTTGGGGTTGGGCGATCAAATCAAGTTTACTCAAGATAGTCGATAATCGATGGGGTGGGTGGGAGTTAAATTACAGCATGCCAATAAAAAGGATGGACTTAGTTTAGGGTCAAAGAAAAACTTAACATCTTGCATTTGGTGATATTATGGGTTTATAAGTAAACATTTAAGAAATCAATTTAATATCAGTGTCTCCTCCATTCAAACAATGGCTCCCTTTTAAAAGTCTGCGTGTCTGTGCTTGGTGTGACAATGTCACAGTATCATGTGCGGTTTAACAGTCTTTAATATCAGCTAAATTAACACCTCTATGAACTGTGGTGATTTTTCCCAAACACCACCTTCTGTGTGATTCTTTAGCTGACTTTAAAGCTGCTGTAATTACTAGTTTGTATTAGTTATGTGAATGGCTATGTGTATTTGAAAAGGTGTTGCTCTACAGAGCGTTAAAGCATTTTTCAGCTCGTTGTTTGGGTTTTACACCCTGCAGCTTTAATATTCTGGTTCATGCTCACCACCTTTGTAGAACTGTTTCCAGCAGCAAAATGCAGTATATATGCATTTATTTCACTGTGCAACAAATGGGCGTGATTAGGTTTAGAAAAAACATCATGGTTTTGCTCATCATTCATATGCGAAGTGAACATCGGCCTCCTGGGTGAGAGTCCAGTGGAAGTCAATGACCAATGACCCTCAATGACCAAGCTGTGGTATATGATGTCTCTAGAAAGCGAATGGGTTTGCTGCTGGTCTAGTTCTTCTGAAACATTAAAAGTTAAACCTGGGACTGGCTTCTTCAGTTTTTCAAGATTGATTTGCCAAATACTAATGCCAATGTGTATTTTGCAAATTCAGAAAAACCTTTTTTAAACCTCTTGCATCAATTTCCAAAGATAAAATACAGAGCTTAACAGTCACTGGTTGTGGTTTGCTTTCTGCTGTCCTGTTAGTTTGTTGGAAGCTGGAATATTGGGTGTCGTACCTTTAAAGCCTGGAGCCTGTTAAAGTACATCTGTGAAAAATGTTGCCTAGGTCCAGAAATACTACCTGACACAATTTAGTAAAAACATTTACACTTTATGGTACAACATTCAACAATGGAATGAATAAGATACAAATGCATTTTTACATGTAGTGAAGTTATAAGGTCCATATTTCGTTACGTAAATCAAATTTATACATGACAGCAACCTTTCTTTATGTAACAAGGCTCAGAAAAATTTTGGATAAACCTCAGAGAAGCATAATTAACATGTTAGGAATACTGAAAAAAAGAATAAATAAAGATTTAAAAATGTTGACTTCTCTCTTTCAGGCCGGCAGCGAGTCAAGGTACCAATGAGTCCTTTGGCATGGGAGGTCACAACGACGCTCATGACGACTCATATGGAAACAGCTCCCAGGACAGCACCCTTATGATGCGTGAGGTGAGTCACCTCTCAGTTCTGACCTTTGACCTGCTGACTGCAGCCTTGCTGACCACACACAAACTGACACTCGATGCTCAGATGCTCTTTCACCGGCTCTGCATGCCTGGCTGAATAACACATACCAAGCGTAGAGGGTTGGAGTGATTGCTCATCGTACGTATGTAGGGTGTTGATGGATTTTATCTTTCAATAAGTATTGTTCAACATTATAGTCATTAGGGCGTAATAAGCCTGATATCTTGTCAAATTTAAACATGAATATAGCAAAAAAGGAACTTGTAATTTTACACACAAAATGCCCACATTTGGCATCTCAGAAAGGCAACAGTTGCAACCTTGACTTGTTTACTTGCAATATATCATATTCTGTTTATGTTAGAGCCCCAGAAATTTGGTATAAAATCAATAAAAAAGTGTATTTTTAGCAGAAAGTGTTGAAAAGTCAATTTGTGAAAGTGCCTGGGGGTAAAACCACCCATTTTGCATTTTTTTCTATTTTCAAAGGGCAGTTATGAAAAATGTGACATCTGTTTGTGCATTTCAGTCATTTGGATCTGGTTCTCTTGTTCAGTTTTGTCTGTGCCTCTTAGAATCTTTATAGCTGTTGGAGTTATGTCTGAACATACCTAACCCTAAAAATGACATTTTTTAAATGACAAAATGACAAAATTCCCATCAGAGAAAAACTACGCAATTCTCAAAATTCATCAAAAGTATTCAGCAGAACTTATTTTTTGGTCTCAAATAGCATATACATGAAGTTTGAACAAAATCTAAAATGTCAACAAAACCTCGAACTGATGTTGAAACATCTTTTGGGATGTCAGTGGTTGCTGTCGCCTTTCTCAATTTAATTAAAATTTTTGATTTTTTTTTATTTAATCTTGAGAGTAAATTTAGTTCAGTTAGAAATTTAAATGTAGATTTCCATTATTAATTAGTCTGTTGTTTATTTTACAGAGGAATCAGTTTATCTATTTGTTTAGTCTGTAAAATGTCAGAAAATAGTGGTGACCACAGTTGCCCACAGCCCACACTGATATTTATTCAGATTTCTCACTTTATTTAGCAAGCAATAAAAAATATTGATATTTTTTTCTAAAAAAAAAAAAAAAAAAAAGTCGAAAACAGTAAATTTATTGTCTATCGTCAGTTTATCAATTAATGGAATAGTCAGTCACCAGAAGAAAATGTTGTAATTGTACATTTCTGCAAACCAATGAATGCGTTACATTTGTACATTTCATATCTATCATATCAATGTTTGTGAAGTGATGTAGTATATGAGCTGACTTTGTCATCTAGAGGTGGAGGGGATGGTGGATGATGTAACACCTTGGCGAGACACCTGCCAAGCTGCAGACCACTGTTTGAGACCAACAAACAAAGCAGGTTGTTTTTTAGCGAGTGTTTTGTAGTGACTCACCACCAGGGATTGTGACACAAAAGCAGTTATTTTTTAAATACATCACTGTTTTTCCAGTGAGGATTGTGCCAGGTATTTTAAGCCAAAACATCTTTTCCTAATCATTATTATGTGGTTTTTGTGCCTAACCGCAAAGCTTGAACTTAACAGTTAAATGATAACATGCAAATGTAATGTGTATGTGGTTTGCAGAATTGTACAATGCCCTCATTGTCATCGTGAATCATACAAACATTTTTTCTGGTGATTGGGTTGGGTTAAGTGTACCGCTCTTTGTTTGTCTGAGAAGCTTTTCCACTCAAACAGGAAAAATATGCAGGTGGAAACATACATTTCGGGAGGATTTTGCCAAAAGCCCAAAATACCGAAACAGAGCAGAAAATATTGACTCCAGGCAGCTTTAATCCAAAAGATAACAGCATCACTGTTGGCCAGCAGTTGGTCACTGTTGCAAGCACCCTGTTAGTGTGTGTGTTACATATTGTGCGATAACATGTGTTGAAGGCCTCAAGGTTCAGTGCCCACCCACCCCTTCCTAAAAATTAACACAAACACAGAAACAAACACACCCGCACACAGCAGGCTTCCTTCCTCCAGCACCTGACCCGTCAATCACAGCCTCACTGCACAGTAGCCCGCCCCTTTCTCTCTCTTTCCAGAAACATGGGGAACGGAGGCGGAGCTCTGCCGCCAGCAATGGTTTCCCTGGCAACGCTAATCTGTTCCCCGGCAACGCAAATCTCCCTGATTTGGTGCAGCAAAGCACCTCCCCCCTGGTCTCCCCTGGCGACGCCTCTGGGGCCCAAGTAGGTGGAGCAGCACCCGACTGTCTGCCCCCTTAACCCGCCCCCCCCCCCCCCCCCCCCCCCCCCCCCCCCCCCCCCCCCCCCCCCCCCCCCCCCCCCCCCCCCCCCCCCCCCCCCCCCCCCCCCCCCCCNTGTTCTCCCTGTTCACCCAGTTACACCCCACCTGCCCACAAACCTGCCGCCAACTGGTCCTTTATCAGGGTGGGAAATTACCAGCAGCCACCAAACTAACACCTGTAAACTTAAAATGTAAAACCACTAATTTAGTGGGTTTTGAGGTTAAAGTGAGGCAGTGGACAAGAAGACTAAAAGGTGCTATATATCATATATCAAAGGGCTTTTCACACTACATGTTCTTAGCCCCTTTTTATACACATTATTGACCCAGGGTGAACCTAAGCCCAGGGATGTATGATTTATGCTGCAGCTGTACTAGCTCTGGGTTAAATGTCTGTTGGAAAACAAGTAAAGCTCCCTTTCTTCTGCACAAAAAAACCCACTAACACCCGGCAACATGTGGCCTTTTAATGTAATGGGAAAGGTTACAGTTATTTATTAGATCCGATTGGTGTTAATGGAAATACAGTACACATGTGCATGCCCTAATTTTAGCCCCTTTACTGGCAAGTACAATGATGCACCACCACAAAATACCGTCCATCTCCGTCCAAGCAGCACTGAAACTTTAACTGAATAAGTTATAAATATATAAAAAGTACCAACTGTAAAGTTTTCACAGGCCTCCATGCTGCTTTCTACCCTTGACTAGCCTGTTTTTCGGCCTGTCCATGGCTTCTAACGTAACACACACAAAAACCACACAAACACAAAAAGACGTACTGTAAAACTTGGTGTATAAGTCACACTTTTTTTCCCTTTTTTTTTCATCTAAAAAGTTGGGTGCAGGTTATAGACCGGTGCGACCTATAGACCAAGGTAAATGCTGACATAGGTAATTTGACCCACAAGATGGCGCTACGTTAGGCTGACCAAACGTCCTCTTTTCCCCAGACATGTCCACTTTTAACTTCCCGTCCGGGGCGTCCGGGGGTCTTTTATAAACTGATGATAATGTCCGGTTTTCCGTGTGTTTGTGTGTGTGTGTGTGTGTGTGTGTTAGAGTGTGGCACGGGCAGCATATTTCTGTCTGAACCCGAACTGAGCCCGACATTGTTTAATGACCAAAGCACTGAGTTTGTGTCACACAGTGGTTACAGGCTATTTAACAGGCCGGGCGTGCGCCGTGGGTGCTCAGCTGCGGAGAGGGAGACCTCCGTGTTTGAGACGGGAGCGGGAGGCGGGAGGTCCGACGCTTCAAGCGAGAGGAGAGGGAGAAATAAAACAAAATAAGATAAAATAGGAAAAACCTGTCTCCCTCGTTTATTTTATTTTCAGCGTTTAATCAAGGCGGAGGCGGGCGGCTGGAGGTCTGATACTTCCAGCGAGGGGGAGACGTAGAAACAAACAGCCAATGTGTGTCTGTGTGTGCTATGTTCAGGTGTTGTCACGTAAATAAGACAATAGGATTTTATTTATTTTTACACTACATTTTCACTGAAAGCTGACCGAATCCGACCCGAGCCCGAATACAATTTATAGCTACATTTTTGACCAAACCCGGCCGACCCATCGGGTACCGTCGGGCTCAGATCGCCACACTCTAGTGTGTGTCTGTGTCCCCTATTGGGGCCTATCTGAATTTCTGTCTTTGAGAGATATTATTTTGTAAAATAACTGAATTTTCTATCCATACATATAAATTTTAAATATATTAAAATTATAAGGTATCTTTGAGTAAACTGCGAGTATCATTTAAGTAGGCTATGTCGCGGCTGGCCGAATGTCCTCTTTTTTGGAAATCAAAATATGGTCACCCTACGCTACGTAGTAATTTAAACTCATTCGTTTTTGGGATTTGAGTAAGCATGTATAGTTACAGCCCACACTGTAATAAGGTACTGTAAAGCTGTGTTCTTAAAAAAGAAAAAAGAAGTTAAACGTTAATTTAAACTCATTTTTATGGCTCAGATGTTGTTATACCGTAATTTTATTTCCTGAAGAGGTTGTTTGGAAAATCTGAATCAATCTGAAAAGTAACCATAGCTGCTTAAGAGGTTATTGTGTTTTGAATTTGTTTCAAATTAAAAATAAAGGGAAACAGTGTAGGAATAACTTGTATAACGTTTTTATTAACAAATAGTAATATAAAACCTTGTTTTCCCTGTTTGAGACCTTAAAAAATAGACTGCGACTTATATGCCAGTGCGACTTATATTCCGAGTTTTACGGTACTCGTCTGCTGCAGAGCTGTGTACACAGCTCTGGTCTACTAGCAATGTTAAAGCGGGTTTACCTGTGTTTACAAAACCCACGTACAGGTGCTAATTTTGGTGGAAAGGGGGTATCATGTTTACACCTGCCTCGGCTGGCTTTGCAGACTGACGGAAAACCTTTTGCTGCATGTTCCATCTTTTCCAAATACAAACTCAGGAATAATGCTTTTAATGCCTGCAGCCAATCTAATCCTCTTTTGTCTTTTCCAGACATATTATTGTTGTTTTAAGTTAACTAGCATACTAGTTACTTCTGGTTTTGGTTTGTAGTAGTTACCATAGTTACAAATTCCATTAACTCCATTCCACTCCACTCCATTAACTAAATTTTTAGCCTTGTGTTTAGTCAATTTTCAGGTGATAACCCCACAGACTCAAGGCTAACCCTGCTCCAGAGAGCCCTTTTCACACTGCATCTAGCCTCAGCTAGCCAAGGGCTTGCTGGTCCTGCCCCGGAAAACACTTAAAAAGATTGAATTGATTGGAGGTAGAAACAACATTGTTACTGAATTTGTGGTTAGAAAAGTCCATTTAAAGGCACTGAAACCCAGTCAACGGTCGGCCGTCAGTCAATATTTGTTGGTAAGCGTCTGTGGCCCTCGTCGTTGTGGTGTGTCACACACAGCTGGCTCACGTCAGCGCTGGTCAGTTTTTTCCCTGCCAATTCAGCATGTTGAGTCAGTGAGACCAAAACAAACTTATTTAGCCTTTGAGCTCTTTAGCAGAAACGTTTCCTGATGGTTTGTGTTATTGTTCACTGGCACACAGTAAATATGCTCTGTTCTTTCAACATTGGATTGTGTTGTTAATGTGCTAACTAGCATCAAGACGGTCTTCCTGTTTCCCTTTTTTAATGAAGATTACAAACTACCGCTGTCTGCTGTTATAGAGAGTTATTTCCTTTCATGCAACGTACGTGCTGATTGGCCGTCAGCTGTAGTCTTTGTGTCTATGTGCAACTTTTTGGCAGAGACAAAGGCAACTTGAGGTGACAAAGCAGGAGGCCTTTGTCGCTGCTAGTTCTTTAAAGTCGGTTTGGTGTGTCTGGTGTGATTTCGCAACAGAAAGGTTTTCCACCATCTGTCAACAAAGCTAGCCAAAGCAGGTTTTAATATCGAAATGTAAACATTAGTCACTTCATGACTAGCCGTACGTTTAACCTAGGGCTAGTAGAAGAGTAGTGTAAATCGTATAGCACTGGGCTTAGGTTAACTCTGGGTTAACATAGTGTTTGAATAGGAGCTAAGTTAGCCCAGGACTAAGGATATTGGATGTTAGTGTTGATCTAAACAAACAAGCGTTGCTGTCGACATCTGCTTTGTGTCACCTTAAAGGGAAATCTATGAAACTGCTTTAGAACACAATCAGACTTCCTTGCAACTGGTTTAATTCCTCTAAATCTAAAATAAATATTTCTTTGGATTTCAGAGGCATAACCAGAAAAAAAGGCAGTTTGTAGTGTTTTAGTCCTAAAACAATTAAATCATGTAAATGTTTGTCAATCAGCTTATTGTTCAATTGATTGATCATTTTGCTGCTCTAATTGGCCTCATCTTATTTTTCCCTCTTTGCATTACAGAGAAGCAGGGTCAATAGGAAATTACACTCTAAGCACGAAAATAAAAAATGACAACATGTGGCACCTTTAATTTCCTGCCCTGTTCTATTCTGATCGGTCCCGCTTTGGCTCCAGTGATTTTCCCCACAGATGGAACAAACTGGATTTCTTCCCTCCCTCACTCCACTTGTTTTATCCCCCTCTCTCTCCCTCCCTCTCTCAGTTTTCCAGCCTCTGATCCAGATAGTCCTCCACCCTTAGCACATGATGCAGGTAGCTGAGAAAATAAAAGAAACACTGAGAGTTGAGTGAATGTATCAGTTCAGATGAACGTGGAATTACGCAGCCTGAGGCCAAAGAGGGTTTTCATTATTGTGACACAAGAAGCAAACAGAAAGCTGTTGAATCCCTACGACCAAAGAGCTTTGAAGATGTTTTCATGACTCACCATGCTCAAGAAGCCTTCACTGAGCACACTGTGTTTCCTTTTATTCCAGCAGTTACCTGTTTCATTCAGTTTTCCCCCAAAGTAGCAAACCATCAGACAAACATGTGACTGACTGTGCTCTGTGTTTCTGTGATCTGCAGTATGGGATGGGAAGCAGCGGAGGCTCCAAGTCTTCCTTCACACCGTTCGTAGATCCAAGGGTGTATGGGACCTCCCCGACTGATGATGACGATAACATCTCTGCCTCAGGTACATTTTCTCACAGTGTCGTACCTGGAAGCCCCAAAGTAATCACAAGATGAATCTAAAGAGTCTTGAGACAATTAGCAAGAGAAAAACAGAATTCTGCTACACATGATTAGCTTTGTTTCTCTGATTTTTCTCTGCAAAACGATTGAAGTAAAATGGTCTAAGAAGGGAAAATCCCTCTTTGATTATACTGCGACTCATAGACATTTACCCCAATTATTATTATAAACTGAATTTTAAGCACTGTTCACATAGACCAAGACCAAAATGAGCCCTACCATACACCCAACATAAAGCAGAACAATGCAGTGCACCTGTCTTGTGCACATTGTGCAAGTACTTCCACCCATCTGTTTGCTCATGGGCGTGAGGGTCCTAAAATGTGGTGTTGTCAGGTGCATTGTTAGTGTATTGATATTTTGAGGCAGCAGAAAGTAACTGCACCATTGACCAACAAAGTCAATGACCTAGTCTAAAGTCAAAATGATGCAGTATTTCCTTGCTATTTAAAGGGCCCGTTATTCAGATCACAAGTTGCACCTACATAGGTGGGTTTAAATGCGCATACACTCTGCATATTACACACACAGGGATGCACAGATGGGTTGCAGGTGGGTGAGATAATATCTCATTAATGAGGAGAATATTAATGACATCAAGGGTGCAGGAAGTGGAACAACACGGTCTGTTAATAGTTGGCTATTTTACCATAACTCATGTATTATCTAAAAAAGTTTTTAAAATTTAAACAGCACGTGATAATAGGAGGACTGTAAAAACTACATGAAAAAAGATGTTTACAGTATGCAAATTTAATGAATTCCCCCGATCTGACATGACAATGTCATCTGGTCAAAGTGCAAGGGACGAGGTCAGCTAAACTTGAGAAGAGATATGCTGTAGCAGGAGCTTATCAATACTGTGGACAGGCTGACAAGATCAGAATATGGTCAGGACAGCTTTTAGCTGCTTTTTAGACAGATTAAATGTCCTTGATTTCCACTGTGGGAACATATCCTGTGGGATGGAATTTTATAGCAGCTAAGGATGGAGCGGCAGACAAGTAGCTTTAACATTATGAGTAGCTGAGGGGACTTGAGTGGTTTCAGCAAACAGACAACTGGATGTCCAACACCATTCAAAAGGAAATATTAGATTTTTTGGCTAATGTGGACCAGAGAGAAAATCTGTCTGAGCTGAAGGAGCGCACATTCTTCGGACCAACAGAACAACTGATTTAAGTACGTCCGTGCAGTTTTCCTGTTACTCCCCAATCCAACCACTTGATTACGGTTAGAAACAAATTATGTTTTGGCTTGAAATACCTGCTTTTGGTGGCACAATCATGGCTGGAAATGCCTGCCACACACACTAAGGTGCAGCACCCCTCAGCAAAAATGCATTACTGTGCGCATGAATGACATCTCTATAATGTGAACATAGCAGAGAGCAGAGCAGAGCAAAGCTGCTGTCTGACTCCCTGTTAAGAGAGATGTTGTGCACATTTACACACAAGGAGCAGCGTAACTTCATTGATTCGTTCAGAAGCTTAAAGTTTAGCTCTGCTTCTTCTGTCACTTTTATAACTACAATTTTTAGTTTTGCTGCTTACATTTCCCTTGTTTCCCTCATTACTCTCAGCAGAAAACCGCTCACTGCTCCAAGTTGCCAAATCCACCATGTACAGTAAATAGCAGTGCACCAGCTGCAGGCACACCTGGCTTTGAAAGGGGATGAGTGATGAGACTGATTGGTTGTATTCATGTTGCCCCTTGCATCTTACTTTGTGTCCTGATTATGCGCAGTTCAACTAGCACAGTAACTTTGGATAGAGTGAGTGTAATTATAATGTGCTGTATGTCATGTTGATCTGCAGCGTTGTTTGCTGATGAGCTGCTGAAGCAGGAGCAGGAGCAGGCGAGGCTCAACGAGGCCCGGAAGATCTCTGTGGTCAACGTCAACCCAACCAACATCAGACCGCACAGCGATACGCCCGAGATCCGCAAATACAAGAAACGCTTCAACTCTGAGATCCTCTGTGCGGCTCTCTGGGGTGAGACAGTCACAGAAACACCTTCACTATAGTAATATTAATCATGAGCAGTTACACAGGTAGTGAGAACTGGGCATGTATGTTTGTGCAGGAGTGAATCTGCTGGTGGGGACAGAGAATGGCCTGATGCTACTGGATCGAAGCGGTCAAGGCAAAGTTTACAACCTGATCAATCGACGGCGCTTCCAACAGATGGACGTCCTGGAGGGACTCAACGTCCTGGTCACCATCTCAGGTTGGTGGAAGCAGTGATGCAATATGACTAAGTACATTTACTCACTGTACTTAAGTACAAATTCAAGGTACCTGTACTTTAAATATTTCCATTTTAACTACTTTATACTGCTACACCTCTACATCTCAGAGGTAAATATTGCACTTCTTCCTGCACTACATTTATCTGACAGCCTTATTTGACAGCCTGACTTTTCAGATTCCAATTTTTCATCCCCTTCCTGTCCAGTGAAAACCACCTATCTCCAGATGTGTTGATGTTGAATGTTTGTTAGAAACTGTAGGATAAAGTGTTCCTTTATGTGTTGAGAAAATTCTAAATAAACTTTTTAAAAACCCTCTCAGATTAGCTGGAAAATCCATTGTCAAAAAGCCGAAAACCAGGCTGTTTTCCTGACCCCATGAAAAGCTGACTTTTTAGAGAGAAGTGGTTCTCACAGGACAGCCGCACTACAAACATATGATGATAACAAGTTCCTGCAAGTGTTTCAAAACAAAAGCCTAGTCAGTGGGTTGCTAAAGTGCCTCTGCTGTTTCATGACAGCATTTTTCACTCGAGGACACGTCAAAAAGTCTGAGGTGCTGTTGCCATAACACCATGTTTACAGTTGTAAACAGCAGCAGATCGTTCTGTGTCCCTATTGGTCAAAGTGATAGCTGTGATGGAAAGAGTCGTGGAAGGCAAAAAAGAAATCAAACATGCCAGTCTTTCTGTCAGAACATCACAAGGCATCCAAGTTGCAGCCTCACTTGTATATGACACACTACACGGGCTAAAATGATCAATTTGCACAACACTCATTGTGGTTCACGATCCAAGCCGACACTGTAGGACGGCCAGGTCGGGCTATAATTGGGCTGATATTGCGTAGTCTGAACTTGGCATTATACATCTACAACCGTAACGTCCAACATGCACATTAATACAGCAGTAATATCAATACAAAAACAACGGATAGAACAGGAAACACTGACAGCATGAAACATTTTCCTGCAACATACATACGTTTACTTAAACTACTTTAAATACATTTTGCTGATTACATACTTTTAGTAAGTCAGATTTTGACTGAAGGGCTTTTACTTGTAGTGGAGTATTTTCACAGTATGGTATTAGTACTTATACTGAAAAAAAGGATCTTAATACTTCTTCCATCACAGCCTAAAAACCTACATCCTGCAGGGCTGGTGATGCCTGGTAATAACTCCACTGATCAACCGCTAGGTTTCAGCATCTAAAAGGACGTTTTACTGTGGCCGTAAATTTGATGTTCAAGTAAGTTTGGAGGTTCTTGTAAAAAAACAAAAAAAGACATTTTATTGCATGGAAGTTCACTCTTGACCTTAACCAAACAGTATTTAGGTGCCATGACATCTACACATGCTAAGTAATTTCTACCATAACCCGGCCCTTTGCATTTACTGGAGAAGACTGAGAAGCACTTGAATGCTCCAATCATCAGTTTTCCTCAGCTGTCTTTGTTGATCACTTATTTCAGCTTTTTTTATTTAGTCATTGTTTCCTGTTTCCCCAGGTTACAGTTGTCTCTTTCATTTTCTTGTGCTCCCCACTGGTTTTTAGTACAAATAGAAAAACAAGACAATAAACATGACGCAGATGTTTCTATTTTTACCAGATTTGACTTTTTATTTTGTGTTTTGCTGCCTTCATAAATAAAGCATTTGCTGATCACATTTGAATGGATGCTACTGCTGATGACATAGAAACAGGTCTTTGCGCTGATGCAATAATAAGTCACATTGAACGAGTGTTCAGTATTCAGATCCTTTACTTCAGTAAAAGTACTAATACCACACTGTGAAAATACTCCACTACAAATCAAAGTCTTGCATCCTGAACCTTAACTTAAGTAAAAGTATGTAAGCAAATTATACTTAAAGTACTTACTGTAAAGGTATTCACTGTGTAGTGAAGTGTTAAATGATAAAATGTAAATGTAAATTGCACTCAGGCATCAGTGGTGGAGTGTACACATTCCAGGTAAGAAGAATATTATTTATCTGAATTGTTATTTTCTTTCTATGATCAGGGAAGAAGAACAAGCTGCGTGTTTACTACCTGTCCTGGCTGAGGAACAGGATATTACATAACGACCCTGAAGTGGAAAAGAAACAGGGTTGGATCACTGTTGGGGAGCTGGAGGGCTGTGTGCACTACAAAGTTGGTATGTCAACTGGTATATATGTGTTATGAGGACACAAACTTGTCAACACACCCACAGTATGGGGACTTGCTTCCATATGGAGGCAAAAAGTTGGTTTATGCAAAATTAACTGTTAATTTATGTATCATTATTGTTGGATTGGGCACTAAGATTTGATTACCTCTCTAAATCTTAAAGCATCTGATTAATTGATAAATGAATGATAGTATTTTCATATTTTCTGACTGAACGTAAAGTTTACAAAGCAACCAAAATACACAATTTGACATATCTGACTGCTTTTATGCTTTTCTGCTCTCCTCCTGCAGTAAAGTATGAGAGGATAAAATTTTTGGTGATTGCTCTGAAGAACTCAGTGGAGATCTACGCCTGGGCACCTAAACCTTACCACAAGTTTATGGCCTTCAAGGTAAGATAAGTCCCAATGCACTTCAAGTGTTAATGAGTTGGGTAAACGTGGGTAAAAGGACCTCTTTGTCTTACAGAACATGTGAGCTAACAGGACACAAGCAGAAGACGAGCATGATGTTTGTTTATTTTTATTTATTTATCCAGGACACAGCCTCACTAAGATACAGGATTTCTTTTACAAATAGGACCTGGCAAAGAAAAAAAACTATGGTTTAAAAGCATGTCAATACTGTACATCAAGTCAGCAAACCAACAAACCAGCAAGTGGAGAAAAAATTGCAGGCATGCTTTTAATCAATTTAAATACATATCCAGAAAAAATTTACTTGTCTTCATGCATGACCTTGCAGTACCTTACCTTACATACCACCAAACAGGGTATTTTGCTGTGATTACACCAGTATTTTCCTGAAATGGCCACAGGAGATGGCTTTTTCCATAATCCTACATCTATCTATCTATCTATCTATCTATATACAGTACAGGCCAAAAGTTTGGACACACCTTCTCATTCAATGCGTTTTCTTTATTTTCATGACTATTTACATTGTAGATTCTCACTGAAGGCATCAAAACTATGAATGAACACATGTGGAGTTATGTACTTAACAAAAAAAGGTGAAATAACTGAAAACATGTTTTATATTCTAGTTTCTTCAAAATAGCCACCCTTTGCTCTGATTACTGCTTTGCACACTCTTGGCATTCTCTCCATGAGCTTCAAGAGGTAGTCACCTGAAATGGTTT